CGATTGAATGAGAAATTAAGGGTTCCAAGAAAAATCCATAGAAAAATATGATGATTCCACTAGTGATTATCTTGGAAAACTAAACGCAATATATGTGGATCCATATAATATTTGAAGATGATTTTTTCTGAAAAATCCCAGATTTGACAGTTTCATTCCACAAGATAAATATATTTGATATGGAACTGTCAGGAAAATTTGCTCGGACATTGACAGTCTCCGTCAAACATACAGGCTATCTCTCTTTGAAACCTGTTTTCATAAAAACATGTCGGCAGACTGACATGAAAAGCTAGAGTTAGGTTATGATGCCCCTAACTTGTGGGGTCGTTACACACGTTATAAAATGTGTGAGAACCGAGTAAAATGACGCAAACCATTTCGGGCTTTTCTAGTAACGGTTAAAAAAGTAATTAAAATTGACAGTTAATAATCTGTAGTGCATGTTTTGTACAACTTATAAGGAATTGAAAGCATTTCAATCGATGGTGATGCAAAGCTTTCAGATGCCAATGCCGTTAATAATTCCAGAATACTGCAAAAGTGACGACCGTGCTCATGACAGTGTCCTATATATATTGTGATTATCCAAGTGCCCATGTTCATGATGGAAGCAACTGCTGCCACTAAAATTTGTGGAATGGGTGGGACAAGGGAGGGCGGAAGAAAGGACCCATTTATTTTGTATCGTAAAAGCCTCCAACTCCTTGTTCTTTTTCTAAGAATCTTCTAGTAGGAAAGTAAGCACAAAGTTCACATCATAATATATTTTATGGTGATGGAGATTGAGTATAAAAGTAAACATAAAAAAATCTCTTCTGATGTTTGAGTTACTGACGTCTTGATAAATGCACTACAATTTACCACACTGTGCGAATAAAATCACATTATCAGAAGAGTGAGAAATTGATGTTGAGTTTTTAATGTTAAGTTATATAGATACAAGACATTATGAAATATATACTGCAATTTTTTTCGGGGCTAGCCTCATCATACAACCTTAGTCTATATCTGCACGACTGAACAGCTCTTTCCACGAATTTGCTGTATTATTCTATTTTCATACTTACTTTATTCATTGAAGAAGATGTTTGCAATGACTCTTGCCTAGGGTCAAACTGGAATGACGGGTTATGAAGGGGTGGGGAGGTGTACTAGGGAACGTTGTGCGTGTTTCAAATGTAGCAGGAAACGTATAGAGTATCCACCGCTGCCAAGAAATCCGCCAAATCTTCCTTTGTAAGGAATAGACCTCAGTTAAGAAACTTCAAGGGTCAAACGATACGTATGTCTGCGTCGATTGCACCAGGCTCAATTGGTGCCGGACCAGACGGAGGTAGGTGCCTGCCTCCTCAGCCTAGTCCTGCCATTGCCCGTATTTGAATAATTGGACTGTCAGTTGTAATTAGTGTGCTCCACATCAATTAGAGACACGATGTCCCATTGACGTTAACGAAGGATTGAATTAAGAGTTCCGATCCCAGTGACAGAAAATGCTTGCAGTTGATGAGCTTTTTTACATACTTTTCAATGGACAACTAAGCCCAATAACATCTATCTGACCACACATACCTTATCCTTACAGCCCACTAGCCTATTCGCTATAATTAGGCCTTCCCAACGGGTCACTGTTCCAATAACTGAATGTATCAGATGGTAAAATTTAAAGTAGAATAGTGAAGATACGAGATTGTTCTGTGTGGTACATGCAACAAATTACATAGGTAGCGGAGAATTCTTTGATTGAGTAAATTGGGATGTTATTGACTTTGGAACACAGCTTGATGTCGTTGACTGATTTAATGAGATTGATAATGCTTCTTGTCTCTGTATCCATCATTTCAACTCAATAAAATTGTAATTTAGGACAGCATGTTACTTTCAACGTAGATAAATTTTGTTTGTCTTTTAGACAATTGGCGGAAGATCATTGAATAACGTCATTGCAACAATTTTTTTAGTGAGTTGATTCTTACATAAGCAATTGCACATCCATTGATCCAACTTTAATGTACAGTTCTATGGTTGAGACAACCTCAAAAAAAACTTCAGGAAGAAATTAAATCTTAATAATAAGGAGGATATTCTTTAAATATGTTGATTGTTACACAATCAACTTCTAACACCTGAAAGAATAGGATGCTAAATCAGAATCTCATGTGATTTCAATCTTAATTCATCACCATGCCATGTAACACCAGGATATGTAAGAGAAAGAACAAAATTCTGACAATTCGAATGGTTCAACATGCGAGGAGATGCAAGAATACGAGACTTTGGATCTAGGCAGTAAAGCGACTCCACATATGTATAAACTGTATCAAGGTTCTTACTAAGACATAATCCGCTACTTTGAAAAACATAATTTGATGAAGAACAGATTTGGAACATGTTCCGTCCATTTTTCAGACTGATACAACATGTCAATCTGAACAAATAGTGGGTGGTCTGGTGCAGTTCAATCTAATCAAGAGACTCCAGCTACGCACGGTACAGGTGTAGGATTTCCAATCCTGAACATGAAATTTTGTCACTACTTTTTGATTCTAGCTAGGTAGTTTCTATCTAGACATGAGTGACAGAACTTTATGAATTCACTTCCAGTGTGCTAGGGATTACAAGACATCATCACGTTCTTATGTCAATATTACATGGTTTCGTGTCCATGTTTTGATGGTCAAAGACATACGGCAAGTAACCAGTTTTTATGGTTGCATGCTTGTGGTTGGTCCGTAGGTCTATTGACAGATCTGTTTTGTCCTAAACAGGAGTAGGCTTACCCAAAAGTGGAACTATATTCTTCCCCGTGACACTGGGCAATTCACCACTACTCAGGTGGTACATGTAGAATCGAAGTTGTGGGGCAGAGATGGGAAGGTGGGACACCAAATAATATAGCAAAAAGATGGGATTAATTCATCTAGGATGAAACCAACTGAATGCTACTCCAGTAGTGTCACGATTACATGTATATTATAATCAGTTGAGACATCCAGGTAACACCTTCATAAACAAGAATATTGTTCTAACAGTCATGGAAAGATGGTATATTCATATCTCCGATCGAGAAAGAAGTTTGATCAGCTAACGACTGCTATTACCATAATGCCACAGTGATATATAAACTTATAGAAGATGAATTAACTCGTAGATAATTTTTTTTTATGAATATCAATGTATTTAAAATCATAAACTAGCTTGATTGATTTTCACTGAATAATATCAATTTGAACTAAATTTGGAATTTTTTTAAAATAAAATTAAATAAAATCATTTTTATGTAAAAGTGTTATTTACAAATAAATTTAATCTTAATTTAATATATTTATCAATAATTTTAGTAATGGGATAATTTCAAATATAAAGTGCATATTAAATATATTATTATCTAATAAAAATGACTACTCTAAATGAATATGTTACGTACTAAATTAGTTAAAAAACTTTAATCATTGGTACAGTAGATTGTAGCCAATAACTCGAAGTTCAGATCCGTAACTTCAATCTGTGAATGTTCAAAACATGTGAATGGTCGTCATGCAATCGTACCAAAGCTCCCATATCGACAGAAATTCAAAAGATACTGCAGGCCAGTACGCAGAGCGCAGAGCGCAGTTCGTACGAACGAATGCATTGTAGAGTCAGTGCACAGAATCCTAGACCGCGACATAGACAGGCAGAAAATACGAGACGCGATAGCCAGACCGAAGAAAGGGACGGGACAGGGACGGGACGACGTCGGGGGAGCGCAGGTGCGGAAGCCACTGGCAAGGGTCGGGTCGGGATTCGGGACGGCGCGGTGAAGATGGCCCGGCCAATGAATTTCGGGCCTGCCATGCCATGCAGCGCATAGTTTGATGGACGCATGCCTCGGAGCGCCGCCGAGGCCATGGAGCCAGCAGCAGCTTTGCAGGCAGAAGGAACGAACGCTGAGGAAGGAGAGAACGACCGAGCGGGAGCTGGCTCAGCCTCAACTGGCTGGCGCGGCGCGGCCCGGTGGGACCGCGGCCTCTGGACCTGCCGGGGTGAGTGAGTCTACGCTGCGCTGCTAGTCTTCTTGTCCGCGTCAGTCGTCCGATGGAAATCGAAGCCCCTTTATGAGCCGTCCGATTAGAGTAACCGTCCGTGGACTGCTCAGGAGACGGCACTCGTCTTTCAAAGCCTGGACTCCTTCTGTCAGTCGCTAAATTAAAATGTCAGCAGCCCGTCGGTATATGGCCTCACCCTCACTCTACGAGGTTCTGACGGTTAACGCGGTGACCCATCGAACCACAGTCGCCCAAGTTTGCAAAGCGTTTTCGTTGGTCTCTCCTCTCATGACTTCGAGCTCGCTCGATCCGTCGCGTCAACGGAGAAGTCGCTGGGTCGTCGTCCTCGAGGGACGGGGGCTTTGACGTCGCGCGATTATATATGGTCGCGGCGAGCGATTGGTGGAGAAGCGGTGAAATGAGGAGTCGCGGTGAGACCGACCCGACCCGACCGACAGAGCGGACTGAAGAGAGCGAGGGGGCGAAGGGAGGTGACCGACAGGGGTGGGAGCGGAGGGTAGATGCGGTCAAATCGCGAGTCCAGCATGTGGGAGGGAACGGAGGGGCAGGCAGGCAGACGGAGAGAGGGGACGGCGGGGAAGTACGACTGACAGAAACTGGAGACAGGCAGCCTGGGGGTTGCTATCTAGAAAGGCGAGTCGGTCACGAGCCCGTGGATGTTGTGGACTTTCCGTGACCACTGAGGATTTCGGGAAGAGGGACCACTGGACGCACAGAAGTCTGGAGCTATGGACTTTGTCGCATTGCGTCAGGAGCGCGAGGGCCCCACCAGGGGGCGGAGGCCGGGCCCGGGCTGCGCGAGCCCGCTTTTCTTCCTCGTCGAGCCCGAGAAGAATCTGCAATATTGTTACGGTCGTTCGCGGGACGATTTGGTCAAACGAATTGTCAAGGAGTCCGGCGTGGCTGGCTGTGGAAGGACGCTCACGACATGCGAGGTGGACTTCGAGGCGCCTCCGAGACAAAATCTTCTCGGCCCTCGTCGCCTCGACCCCACCTCACCACCGCGCCCCACCCCCCACTCCACTCCACTCGCAGATGCGTAGCCGGGACGCGTTGCTTCAGTAACCAAACCGACCCGTCCAGCGCTCGCGGCCGGGTCGCCCTTCCCTCGTTCCCTGGCCGGTGCGGTGAAAACTAAATCCGGGTGCAGTTTTTCCTCCCCCCCCGCCCCGCCCCTCCCCGCACGGTCCTCCTCCAGAGCAGGCCCTCGCGCAGCTGGTCTGCTCCGTGTCAGTCCGCCGTATTCCTCCCTCTGTTATAAGCACCTCAGCAGTATACGCTTCATAATCGCTTGCAGCCCCCTCCTCTCTCTCACACACACTCTCTCTCCACTCTCTCTCCCTCTCTCTCTCTTTCTTTCTAAACATCAACGAACATCTGCGGCCAGCAAAGCTGCTGAAAAACACAGAAGAGCCGTTGGGTGTCACTCATGTTCGAACATCGGCTCGGGGGACATTAGAGTGGAAATTGCGGCGGGTGGTGAGGAGTTCTGCTCCTCCTCGACGTAGCGTCGGTGGTTTAGAAATTGGAGTCGGTGGAGATCCGCAAGCGTAACATGATGTCCGTGAGCGAGTTCTTCTCTAGCGACCCGGAGCCGCCGTGGATCGTGGATGCGGCAGCGGACCTGGAGAGCTACACGGATATGAACCAGCTCGAGCAGGAGCACAGTGAGGCGTCGACGTCTACGGCCCCGACGACGATGATGACGAGTGGAGCGTCTCAGTTTTTCGCTGGGTTCAGCTTTCTGGACAGCAGCAGCAGCAGGAGCTCGACGGACATGGAAATTGACGACATGCCGTCGACGTCGTCGAACATTGATAGAGTTATAGCTCACCTTTTCACGCTGAGGGAAATAGAGTCCGTGAGGCCGTTCAGAATCGACGACCCCAAGGGAACAGGTGGAGCGAGGAGGCATGCTGCAGGTCGCAGCAAGGCCAGTCGGAAGCGGAAATTCGACCAAATTCTCTGAAGCTCTCGACGGACAGTCATGTGAATCATTCGAGGAGCACGAGGACGATTCTCTCGCAGTCCACGCTGTTGCCCGGGTCGAGGCTCGAGCTATCGAGGACGCCAGCGAGCTACTCATCGGAACACACAACCATACGAGCGTGGAGTTGTCAGCGAGGAGGATGATGATGACGATGATGTGTAGGTAGAGCATTGATCACATTGAGCGAGTGATTTGTTCCACAGCATAAGCCGGGTTTTGAGTTAAAGAATAGGCCGAATCTGTCAAGGGACGTAATTTCAGCATGACTCATCCCTGCAGCCAGCCGACCACTGTCTCGAATTCGAGCTTGTTTGCCACTCATGACGGTGCTCGTCGCCTTAGTATCAATAACCGGATGCTATTGTTTGAGCCTTCCGAAAAGAATTCACACTCAAATGTGCTACCGACTAGATGCCAGAAAAGAAATTCTTCTTATGCTCGCTCTTGCTCCCCATCCGTGGTGTGGTCAAATTGACATAGGAGAAAGAGATGGAACGAGTTATCCCGCTGTCGATGTTGAAAGCTTCAAATTTACAATCCATTAGTAGACACCAGTGGGAAGGACTTTAGGGAGCACATCATCTTGTGAACTGGAGACGATTGGAAGTGGCTCGGGGAGGATGAAGGGCATTACCGTCTCATGTCGACCACCGGCCCCGACGAGTGCGCATCACGACTAACTGTCGATTCCAATAGAAATTTCGGAGTTATAAATCCAAAATCAGGACGAGCCCGGCTGCCGAAGCAGGCCGATATGATTCTGCAGGGTCTGATCAGGTGTCGGACGAATGAGTTTTGTGGAATGGGAGTGCTGGGGGACATCAGTGCTTTGCGTTTGGTTACTGTATACGCGAAATCACAACTTTGTGATGATGTTAAGTAGACTCATTTAGTGTCAGTGCCAAATTGGTGGTGACGAGGTAGATCGGTTGCATCGCAGTTTTTTAAGTACTGCCGAGCTCCATGACGAAACATGTGATTCATACGATTGAAGAAACAGTAAATTTTTCAGTGATCATTTAAGGCATTGTATGTGTACGTCCTTATTCAAATCGCCGTTCATCGACCTCGGTTAATGTCTGTGTTCTCTCCTTTCCCTCCTCCCCCGGTCTTGGCTTTGATGTATAGTTCAGTGCTCGTTTCAATGGCCTCGAGAGAATGGTTGTGGTTCAGTCCATCACCTTTAATTTCTGGGGTCCGTCGTCTCGTTGCTGATTGCATCCGTTTTGTGATCCATATAAACTGCAGAATGTATCTGTCCCTGAAGAGTGGCGGAGGTTGTTCCGCGAGGAAAGGGGTGTGCTTAATCGACGTCCTCTCGTACATACTCCCGGGCGCTGGGTATCGAGAGGTGATTGATCCGTGACCTCGCATTCGAGCAGCGCTAGCAGTGTGAATGCCCAATATAAGTAGATGGTGTTAGTTTGGAGAGGGGTTGGAGGAGTAATTTAACTCTCCCTTTTTTTTACATTTCGAGGCTTAGATGCACATCTTTCTCGCAGCCGATTCGACAGTTGCACACGTGACGACTATTTGGTGGTATTGTCTCAGGCAAAGTATTGGAACACCTTGAATGTGTTCACCTACGTTTTGAAATGGGAAGGCACGGCAAGGCAAGGACCAATTTCTGTGTGGATAGAATCCCCACTTCCTGATATCTCCATGACGATTTCAAATCAGGCGCTGAGCATGGCTGCTTCCCACTGTTTCCTGAGTCGCGGACTTTAAGCTAGGAAGGAAGAGAATGGACGGGAAGGAGTCAATCGTCCCACCATTGCCCCGTCAAGTCCGTCTGTTCTCATCTCTCATATACAGCCTTCCCTCCCATCTGGACTAGGTGGCCTGGCCGATCAATCTCCTCGCGATTGTCTTCCTCCGGAGGCTGGAGCCAACCAGCAGCCGCTGAGCTGACCTTCCTTCACTTGATCAGATCTGATTAGATGGAGTCTCGGTCAGGAGGAGGCTGGGGCAATCACATCGCATCACATCAGCGATCGCCGCTGCCTCGTTCTCTAGGGAGCAGACTTAGAAGCTTCCAGCGAGCTTCTGGCGCCAGTTACGGAGCGGTGAACGCGTTTTTTCAACACGCCGTTAGTGAATGGGAGGAGGGAGCGAGGGGCTCTAAGACTCTAGCAAGCCGAAACTTGTGCCTAGAAGGTCCTCTAGAAGTTCCCTCTGGAAATTTTTTGACTTCAAGTCCTGCCAGTGGGGCTAATATCTTGAACGTGTTCCAGGTCCAAGTCTGGAAGCAAGAGAAAGAGCGAGGGTCCTGACTTGACGATGTGACAAGAGAGATAACTTTTGTACCTACTTACTTTTTAGGCCTAGTACAAGCCAATCCAGCTAAAGTCCAGCTACTTTAGCACATGGACTTTGTGCACTTCCGAACCCTCCCGCCGAATGAGCTTGTTGTGCACCAAAGCAGGTTCATGTCAACCATTCTCCATTCTTCCTCTTGACCAAGACGAGGCGAGAATTGGTGTGGAGGAAATGAAAATGATATCGATATCTCAATTCATGTCGAACCATCAGCTAAACCAGTCACAATTCATGTCGAACCATCAGCTAAACCAGTCACAGTTGGCTGCGGCTAGAGTGCCAATGGTCTTCAGGAATATGAAGAGACCTCGGGAGGGAATTGTAGGCTGGCCCTCAAAGAGTGCAGAGCGGTCATCACATTGTTCTTTCCACGTTTATCATACGGAAAGCAAGCAAAGGAAACCCTACACGCTCCGAGGTATGGGGGTTCACTCCAAACCCACTTCACCGATATGTCAGCTTACGTTCAGTACAGTCTTCATACATTCAGCTTTTATGATATATTTAAAAAATGCAGATAAATATAATTCTTTCGAACGACCACGGTAGTAAGAGATTATATAGAATCAGTACATTCAAACCAGGAAGGACAGGAATGCATCATTCTGATGACTCTTATCGGACTTTTATCCTCTTTTCTGCTTACATGGGAATCAGCTGTCGGGAAAAATATCAACGTAGCAGCTTAGTAGTGGTTAGCTTGTGAATGGGCGAGCAACCCAATGACGCACTAAAAGAGGTGTCCTAAAAAAAAAGAAGAAAATGAAATGACTTTCCCCATGCGGCATCTTGGCGTCTGCATCTCAGTGGTAAAGACTCCGGAGAAGATCCTGTTCCGGGCAAAGCGGGCTCCGTGTTGGCGATGGCGAGACGGTCAGGCAGGCTACGCGCGTCTAGTCTCGTACAACGGGATCAGTGTAACGCAGTGCAAGGAATTCGCTCATCCATCGTTCAACATTTATAATGCGTTTACTGAAGAACACTGTGCAATGTTGTGCTTGTGTCGTCAATGTTCTCGGAAGCTCATTCCCTTGCATCAAGTGCAACAAAATGGCCGCAAGAGGCCTCATCCTTTTGTCTTACCTGCTCAGTGATGATGATGTCGTTCAAGGCTGTAAAACTTTTCTGTCAATAAGTGAGCCAGCCCGACTAAGTAATTCCAATCGGCTCACCACGTCTCAGTCGGTGTTCCTGTCTTTATTCAGGTACTTCCTTCTCCTTCTTTGTCATGAGAGTGAATGCAGGCACTGATTGAAGACGTTCGCAGCCACTAGATAGTTATTAAACGGCAGGATAATATATAGGTTCAGGATTCACACGAACGAGAGAGAGAGGGTAACGGAGGCCAGATAGTTACTGCAAGAGGAAAGGGCGGAAGGGGGAAGTTCTTTTCCAGTGATCCAGCGATGGTCTGGAGAGGTAAAATTGCATGGACATGGAAGGGAGAACAATTTGGGGTCAATAATGAGGAGAAAAAATCATGGCAGAAGAAGCTGCGTATATTTCAATAGAAAGTATATATTTGAGATGCATTTCGTATAACACAAATTGCCACAGCAGCAGCAGGACGTGGAGGGTGGAGGAGGAGGGCGGGCAAGGATTTGGACGACAGGGATGGACAACTCGCGAAGTGCATTCTTCCATCCATCAGTGGCGAGAAGTGTGGCTCGTGTGTCTCATTCGAGAAGACCGAATGAGCTACATTTGCGTGTACGAATTCGCAGCCGGTCCTCTCGACATCCTCTACTGGTGTCAATATCTAGCAACATCGCATCCCTCGCGGGTCGCCTACAAATCATAACTCGCCTGCAGCAGCATTCGAAATACGTTGTCCTCCCAAAAATACTCAAAAATATTCTCAGATCTAAATAGAGCCTCGCAGTCAAGCAAGCCAGCGAGCAAGTGGGCAGGAGCTGAGGACCCGCTCACTTCGCGACCCATTCCCTCCCTCCCTCCCTCCCTCCCTTGTTCCATCAATCCATTCCTCCCAATGTCTTCATCTGAATGATTGACCGACTCTAATGTGCTACGTCCCGCTTCGCAGCAGCAGCTGTCCTCAGCGATCAGACTAAGCCCTTAGATACGGTATAATTCTGAAGCCAAACCATCGAGCATCAAGCTGCAGTTCATCCCGAGGAAACGCAGGGAAGGGGGAGGCGAGGGGAGGTGTGATCTCTTGAGCCTATCGTTCCGACGGTGACTGGAGTGGATTTGATTCGTTCGGTCTTCATAGACTGAGCCCAATGTGGAACAGCGATCGTTCTTCGAGTTAGCTTCTCGGCAGGTCAGGATTCACATCCATGACCTTGTTTTGCGCTGCATTGCGGTTTGTTGGTCTCATGACCTCCACCAGATGAAGCAAGTGCAGTCGGGCATAATCATACCTGCCGGACAAGGGGAACGATGGGTCCGCAGCTCACCATCATCCGGATCCTCGCGCTTTCAAGGGGCTCGTAACACCAGCAGCAGAAGCAGCCGAAGGGAGTCGAAAGAACGTTAGCGCGTGGCGCTTTACGTCGGCATTGCGGTCCGACTGACGGACGGAAGGACGCGGCTGGCCGTTCGTTCCGTCCCCTATTCGATTCTCAAACTTTGACCTTGCTCTCCGATGCGAACGCCATTTCCTTCATTCTTTCAATCTTTCTCTTTCTCTCTTCCAGAATTCTGTCACGGCAAATCACGACGGAGCGGAATCCCGTCGAGGGCGATCTAGCGGGAGAACTCTCAGCTTTTCGTTCTGATCTGATGCGCAGAGAGCAATGCCCAAGTCGGAGATCCGCAGAGAAATCCAGAATTGTCACCGATTCCGAACCACTTTGGTTCTGGAATCCAAGGTTTAACGATTCTGGGTTCACGGTAAGGACTAAGGAGCTCCGGATCTATGGACGGACATGAGTCGTGCTCGGAACCTCTCGTAGTTTCAAAAGCTGTGTACTCGTATCGTACTACTAGTCCCGGTCCAATGGATTGGAATATTAGCAGACGATCCTGGCTTGATGTTGAGCTGATTTTGGTTTGCTTGAAGAGTCGGGCGCAATGATTGTTGACCTTGGAGCTGCCATGAGTGCGGGTGCAAGTTTCCACCGTTGCCTGCCACGTTTCTTCAGTGGATACCTTCCGTTTCTCGAACGGTGCAATGCCATGATGCAAGAGTGCACGCAGTCAGTCAGTCGGTCGGTCGGTCCGAGTCGTTCCGTTCGGGGGAGTGCATTGTAAGGGCATGAATTTGATGGATGGGTCATTTGAAACCCAAAAGAGAGAGTCTATCGATCGATCGAGAGTACTGGAGCTGGAGCAATGGAGGCTCGAATGCTTGACACAGATGTGCAGTCCAAAGCACAAACGAGTGCAGGGTGACACTGCTTTCGGGACGATTCTTCTACTTTTTCGCTTTAGATTGAGAAAGGGCAGGACGACGCTGCAGCTGCTGCTGCAATCCGAGCACGATGCTTGGCCTCGCTGATGATGACAGCGATTTGCTTTGTCCAACTTCCCCTCTCCGCCACCCGAGCTTTCAGTTGAGAAGCTTTGCGTCCATGATCGCAGAGGCCTGCCCGAAAGACAAGCTCTTGGCTCTTTACAGCTGGTTGCAGGCAGGTGCCAGTTCCCTCCATCACTGACTCAATCAGGTGAACCACACCACCACACCACATCAGACGGGGCCGGACCGAATGAGGATTTCGTTGTGTGCCACACCAGTAATCGGAAGGAGCTGACGATACTGGGCGCTCCTTGGGCATGGCAAGGGCTTCCTTCAATCTTTACACTTTAAGAAAACGACCGAGAAGTACGAAAATCAGTCCTTCGGATCCAGATCCGGCAGATACCAGCCGTGAAAGTGAACCTCTTGGGAGCACGGACGGTCGGTCGACAGAGTCTGCTACATACAATAATGGGCACTCGACAGGAAAAGTCGATTCACAGAGGGAGATAATGATCAGACCGTCTAAGTGAGATTAGATCTAGATTCTGCCCTCTTAGGCCTGGCTCCCTGCCTGCCTGCGCCTGCTGCCTGACCCCCATCCACAGAGTGTTTGACTTGACCCAGACGACCAAAGGTCCCCCGGTTGACCAAATGGTGGAAAAGCAAGTCCTGCAAAAGTCGGTCCTCCATGCATTCATTCCAATTTCAATTGGGGTCCACATGGGCTCCCTCCGCGCTCATGTCCGTGGTTCGCCTCAACACCATGTCCGATGTCATCGTGTGTGTGTCACCAAAATCAGCGCTTTCGCCGACAGGAACAGCACATCCATCCCCACCCCCACCCCCATCCCCATCTGCACAGATATTGTAAATCGGCTTCCGATTGACGAGTATTACGACCTCAGCTGCGGCTGCAGTGGACCTTGCGTCTCGCCATATGTTCAGCTCCAGGCCCAGACCGACCGCAGACATTGTAACGTTGTCACCCTCTGGTGCTCAACGAGAGCTCCGAGGTTCTCCCAATTCTGCTTCGCTGCTCGTGTTCAGACATCGTTCACGTTATGGTTGCGCTTGTGCTAAACGCTATCGATCATCTGCGAGGTAGAATTTCCCGTTTCATGTTAGTTTGGCGAGCCCAGGTGGGGGTGATTTCCAGCCTGGGCATGAAGTGAAGGGAATGTCTGCTGAAGAGCAGGTCGGTTTTCTCGAGAGAAGAATGGACCATGTGGCCATGGCACGACAGACGTAGCTTTAGACAACTGTGTGATCGGTGAGAAGTGCAGTCCGTGGCATAGGTTGGCCTAGTTTTCCTACACGATCGCAGACCTTTCATTCCTGATCTTTTCCTGACTACCATTATAGCTCGATCCGCGAGGGGGAGCTTGAATGATTCCGGGCCATGATTGATTATAGAGTGTGGAATTGGACTAGGTGTAGGTTTTTTTTCGCTACCTCATGATAATTTAAGATCATATTCATTATCTGAAGCCTGAAAAATTTAGAAGCATCATTTTGGTCTTTAAGAAGTTAGTTCCCAGATTCTTCCGCTCTCTCCAGTGAAAATCTCATGCTTTGAAGATATGCCACATTTACAGTTTACATGTTCTAGGCTTTCATTTGCATACCAAGGTTCATTCTCGTCCGAGCTCACTGGAGCTGTTGCTGAAGATGTGAGATCCTCGGTTGACAGGGTGGCTTCATTCGTTCTGCAGGCCTGGTACTCCTGAGGCCTTGGCTGGCCACACCGGTCTGCAAAGAGAATGCCAATTGTTCATGGCGGGTCCTAAACGTTCCCTTCAGAATCGGATCTCATTGAACGAGCAGCATGTGCATCAGTCGGGGAAGATGCTCAACGATGCGAGTGTGTTGAGGTTTCAACTGCCCATCCATCCTCGACAGCTCTTCAGCGCTATTGAATCACAGCCAAAGCATCGAAAGCATCTTGCTGCTTTTCGAATCCGTACGACCGCACAGGTTCAGAAAGTAATTTCTGCTTACTAAATCCGTAGAAATAATCTTTCATGGGTGCAACCGTCCAGCTCAAGCTGGTTCTCGATCGTCTCGATAAAAAAACTCGAGGAGAACTTGCATCACGGAAAGGATTCTGCTCTGGACCGAGAATGTCGGACGTGCTTCTTAAGTAACAAACAATTTCATAGAATGAAGAATCCGGAGAAACCGGCAGCAGATGCAGACCTGCACAGTACGTTCTTCTGATCAGCTGAAGATCCAACTTTTGGCTAATTGAATAATAGACTGTCACTGTATCGCGAGGATCTCACTCGTGAGCGCTCGCACGTCGCAAGCGCCGGAGAATGCATTGCATGAAGTTTGAGGTTCATGAACATGAGAGATGCTCGACACCTTCACAAGATTGCTTCCCGGTCACACCGACGGCATCACATCCTCAGCTCTCCCCGAATCAGCGCAGCTAAAAGCTTAGAAAATGCGCATGCGCATCTGTTCGTCATAAGTCCCTGAGATTGCTGATGATGATCATCACGAGCCAGGGAGGGTACTTGAATATTGAACGATTTGGTCCTCGGCGGTGCACAGCGCCGTCGACGAACCTCAACTTTATTACATGATCAGTAGGCACCCAAATATTACAATCACAAGAACACAATATCCTGGGAAGGAGAAATTATACAATGCACAGGATGCAAAGACGGCTCTTCAAACTTGTGCGTGAATGTGTAGCTCAGTCTCTCGTTTGTCCGTCCACAGAAGAACTACTACAACAACGGTTGCTAACCCTTATTCTTCTTATTCCTCTTCATGGAATCGAGGGCACCGAGCCAGACAACTGGTTGCCACTGAGGTCGAGCGACGAGAGAGACAGGGACGACAAGCACTCGGGAGCAGAGCCGGAGATGAAGTTGCCCTTGAGGATGAGAGTGTGGAGGTTGCCGAGCCTGCAAAGCTCCTCAGGGATGGACCCGACGACATTGCACCCGTCGAGGTTGAGCACCTCGAGGTTGGCGAGGCCGCCCCAGGCAGGGGGGATCTGGCCATTGTAGGCCACGTTGAGCATGGTCAGGTTCTTGAGCCCCACGAGGTCACCGAGGGCAGTGCCCACCAGGTAGGGGTCGCCCTGAGGCCTGGCTGCAGGCACGTCCTTGGCGACGATGTTCAGCGACTCCACGTTGCCATTGCCATTGCAGGTGACGCCGTCCCAGGTGCAGCAGTTGGTTCCGTCCTGCCAGGTTTTGAACTCCTCCCCTCCGAACACGATCTCCAGCTGAAAGTATTTCAGCGCTTGGCTATCCACAGGCTTGCAGTTCTGCCCGTACGCCACCGTCGCTAACGTTGTCGCCAGCACAACCACTGCCCATGCACCAAGCCCTGCAGCCATTGCTCCCTACCTTTTACCCCGAAATCACCCTCGATGAGTCCCGGGTCAGATGCAGCTGCACGATAAAAAAACAAAGAGATTCCAATCATTCAATCAATCAACAATGGTAACTATGCATCAATCAAACAATCACTCAACTCAGCACACCGTCTGGCGTTCTTAGAGCTGGAGTTCTAGCAGGACCCAGGACCTCATGCATATCTGATCTATACTCCAGAACAGCATCCCCAGCTACTGTCATCGACCAGGGGTGCTCGCTAGACCTATTGCAAACTTCGATATCTACAAAGGTTTTTATTCAGATTCAGCTTTCATTCCGAGATTCAGGACTCAGTGACTTACCGTCAGTGTTCACTTGCTCGGCTCAGCTGGACTAGAGCTCGACTTCGGTATCGGTCCCGAAACGGAATGTTGAGCTCGAATGCGTAGATGATGGTGATTGATTGATTGATGGTGACTGGAAGCCCGGGGGAAGAGTTTATATCCAGGTCAGACGTAGATCAGGAGGAATGAGCGACGAATGAGTGAGGGCGATGGACAGAGCTGACTTGCTGATGAGTCATGAAGGGAAACATCATTTATCACACCCATGTGTGGTTTGCTTCAAACATGTCCGAGTCGCAACAATGCGAGGTCAACGCTCGTGGTTTCACCTCACCATCTGCTGACGGCCGCGACACCATTTGCAACTAAACCCTCGAAATTCGCAGCTTCTGGCGGTAGCTGGAACGACGAAATAAAAATAGACAGCCCGCAATGGACCAGCCAAACCAACACAATGGGCGAGAGGCATTTCCAGTCTCGTTCTGGTCTCGATACAGAGCTTGGAAGCTTTCACAGCAATTACTACCAAGCGTGCGCTGAGAAACGAAGACGGATCCCAAAGTCAGCACCTGATCACAGACACAGTGTCTCGTCCAAGAAAACCTTACTAAATCGGAAACTGCTACCTCGGCCGCAAATAGACTGTCACCAGTTTATATCCATAAAAAGATCACGTTACGTTCTGCCTATGACATGGAGACATTTGACGACTGAACATGGAGAAGGTTCGCAGCTGCAGGAGGCTGTGGACATGGTGGTTGACATGGCTCGGCGGACTTCTAGATCCGCATCCGATCGGGAATGAATGTCAGAGTTCATACTGAAAATGGCTTGCAAGTCCGCCGGCTATCGTTATTGCTCAAGGCCTTCCTGCAGGTGGTTGATCAACGGACTCACATGGCCGGTCCTGAATGTCCGAGCTTCGCAAACAGAGCGAGTAGATCCAACCTTTCTCAAACTATTGTGTAGAGCACAAATCATTCAAATATTATTCGTGGTTAATGGCAGTGCGAGAGATCAGGGCTCTCGTACAAGAGTGGTCTGGGTTTTGCTGTCAGAATCCGCTGAAATATCACTGATCGCATCACGTGATGAACTCGGACTGCGTCAAAGGAATTCTCTTATCTGCTCTAATATTGGGTCGAGACTTGAATTAGAATCACCTCCTATCTGGGCCAGAAATTCGGGGCTGACGGGTGGTTTGTTTATTTTGAGCTAGCTTGCTCGTTGGTGTCAGAGCCAGCGAATTAAAGCAGTTAGCATGTTCGATCGTTGACCAGTCCATAGTCAGTTGTAGCGAGCATATAAAGAATCTCCTGTGCAGCAGCCAAACACAATCCAAATTCAGTGTCAACTACTCCTCTAGCTAGATCTCGCTCTCTAGCTAGCTTGCCATTCAGGAGTACCAGAGTCTTTCTACTTTGAACTGCAAGCTCAAATCTGCGAGAGGTAAGTTGGCGTAGGCTGCAACTGCTTGTAGGCTCATGTTGTGGGAAGTCTACGTGATTTAACTCTCAATCACTAGAAATGTGTTAGCCAGGAACATTTCATGAACCAGATAATCGAAATCCTTGCAAAAACTTGGCTCGATCGATCCACCTAGTGATGACTTGCATTGCATGCGTCGACACGGAATCTCAGCTGAAGCTTGATGTTCATGTGTTGATTCCAGGCCTCGAATCCTACCGCTATCTGGACGAAAGATCAGAGTGAATAGCAGCAGCTGCATGCGGAGAAGGGAGTTGGCGTAGTTTATAGAAGGGCAGTACTGTGCTGACGGACACATATTTGCAGCTGATCATGGCGACTCCGATCTCCAGTCGACTGAAAGTATTGGCGATCCTCGTCGTCGTCGCCCTGGTGTGTGTGCAAGAGGTGAATGCTCAGACTGGAAAGGGATGGAGGCGTTTGCGTCCCAACTTCTACGCTAGATCTTGTCCTGATGCGGAGAAGATAATCAGGCAGTCGATGGAGAACGCATATCAGCAGGACCCGAGCTTTCCCGGTGCCATTCTTCGTATGTTCTTCCACGATTGTGTGGTCCGAGTGAGTACATCATCATCCCTCTGGACTTTGAGTAAAATGTTCACGTCGTTGTATTCATGATGGTAGCGAGTAATTATCATGTACTCTGTATCCAGAGCAACTGGAAGACAGAATTCATTCACTGAAGAAGACTGCATGACCGGAATCTTTTCAGGGATGCGATGCTTCCGTCCTCCTGGACAACGACGACTCGGAGAAGCTCGGAGCTCCGAATGCCAACTCCCTCAGGGGATTCGAGGCTCTGGACGAGGCCAAGGCGAATCTGGAGAACGTTTGTCCTGGAGTCGTGTCCTGCGCTGACGTGCTGGCCTACGCTGCTCGCGACTGCATCGAGCTGGTAACTCACTTCATCCGATCGATCCATTAGCCAAAGCAGTGACGTAACATCTCAATTCGGATTTCAACATTCTTTTCTTGTGTATGACTGCAATGCAATTCAATGCAATGCATGCAATCGTGGGGAACAGAATAACAAAGCTATAGAGAGAGCATGACAAAGGTCAATGACCAACGTGTCTTCCATGGATTGCGTTGCAGGCTTCTCCAGGCACGAAGGTGCGCAACTGGACCGGGGGTCGCAGAGATGGTGTCGTCTCCGTCTCCGCCGAGACGCTGACTGAGCTTCCTGGACCCTTTTCCAACTTCACCTCACTGGAGCGCTCTTTCGCCAAAAAGGGCCTCAACCAGATGGACCTCGTCGTCCTCTCAGGTACAATCCAGTAGAAGAACTCAGTCACTCTTCTGGATTACTTGATTACTAAATCAGATCCAGTGTTTGTTGTTTGCGTGCACGTTTATATTTGGAATGAACTTAAGGTATGAGTGAGTAATCGAAGGTGGGCATGGGGACGGGCTGTTGATTGTGATTGCAGGTGCACACAGCGTTGGTAAGGCACGATGCGGAATCATCCTCAGCCGTCTGTACAACTTCAAGGGTACGGGCAAGCCCGACCCATCGATGAACCCGGCGTACGTCGCCAAGCTCAAGCAGCTGTGCCCCCCCAACGCACCCGGAAACAGGATCGACATGGAGCAGAGGAGCCCGAACCGCCTCGACGTCAACTACTACGCCGATGTGGAGCAGGGCCGAGGCCTGTTCGAGTCCGACAACGCTCTGAGGACCACCCCCGCCGGACGCTGGCTCGTCAGGGTCAACAAGAACAAGCGCGTCTTCGACACGGCTTTCGTTCTCGCCATGAAGAAGGTCGGAAACATCGACGTGCTGGTCGGCAACCAGGGCCAGATCCGCACCGTCTGCAATGCGGTGAACGTCTAAAATGTAGATTCTGTATGTATTTTTATCATCGACTGGAAGCGCTGGAGAGTCGGATGTCTGAGGCTTGCAGTTGTGATTGCAAGAGCCAGCCGCGCTCGTTCGGAGATCTGAAATCACGATCGATCGATCCATGGATGATCACCCGATCGACTGACTGGCTGACTCCCCTGCTGGAGACCAGATCGCCTGTATATGCTCAACTAGAGTTGTGAGCACAAAATAAGATTAGGGTAGACATTTATTATTATTGCTGGCACAGCCGTCGGCCTTTGTTTCATGAATTCTGATTTTTAATAACGATCAAACCTCTACTCTATGGTCCATCTGAGCTCACTTCTTCTCCACAGAGTATCCTCTGCTCGTTCTATTTTCTTCTCTCATCTCATCCACTCAAATGGTTTGCAGAAAACAGTCCGCATGTTGGTCCTCTGACCATATATGTGCAAGCATTTGTCACTCTTAGACAATAGTATTCTTCAAATTACAAGTTGTATCGACAGAAATAGTTGCGAGTTGTATCGACAGAAAATGGTTCCAATGCTTCAAATCCAGGATATCCAGCTCCGCCAATAGAAATAGACTAAAAGCTTAATGTTTAGCGGGGCGTTGAGAAGATTATGTAGCCTCTTGGTCCCAAGGGCCGAAGGCAATAGTTTTCTCTTATTCCATTTTCTTCAACATGATTATGCAAATAAAGTGTCAAGGGGCTCGAATAGGTAGAAAGTCAGTACCGGATTTCTCCAATCATGTGGATTTATCATGCTGAAAAGATAGCTAATATGCATCACGGTTCACCAGTCAGGACAAAGAATAACAGACGGATGACAGTCGACAGGTCTGCAGATTTCATCCTTGGTGTACATGAGGAAAAAAATGAAGCTACGAAAAGAAACGTCCAAATGCCAAGATTGAAGGTAAATATTTACACACCTAGTCCACATATACTTTTATATTACAACTCGCTTCATGCATTTGAAAGTGATGGTTGCGGTGAATCTTTATCCAAAACAAGAGAGGACGCAGCTTGTTACCCAAATTCTAAGACACAGATCACAAACCTACAAGAACATGCATACCTGCATTGCATTGTTGAACCATTTGATGCATGCGACCATGCATCTGTTGTTACATGGTCTCGTATGTGCAGCCATTAATGTCGAAGTTACGACTGTCGTTCGCTGTTAAGATTATTTTCGATTTCTGACGCCAAAATTCAATGCCTCTCTTTGGCATCTCAAGGCCGCAGCTGTTTTGCAGAAAAAAAAATCAGATCCCTTTTATACCATATTCTGTAAAAAATTACCTATTTATTTCTGAAGCTAATATTTTAGTCAAAGTTCTAAGCATATGCAGCACGAGATGAGGATGCTGCTGAGACAGCTGCGAGTCTGACTTAATGCATGACAAAAACACAATATGCCAACACGTACAACTTGCTTCAGGCCGACTAGCCAACCGAGAGCTGTAAGACGATCGTCGAGCAGACAGCAGGAGCTTAGTCTAATGCACGTCACCTGATGAGGAAAGTCTGGAAGGTGTGATACTCCGTTACACATGATGAAAAAGCTCAAGCTCAGCAGCGTGATCCACACGAACAGAAGCAAATTCACCATCTGACTGAAGAGAGGCACCATCTCCCCTATTCGACGGAATCCCAAGAGCAGCCCCACAATAACACTCCCACGTAATGAAGATAATGAAACCTTCTAAGCATGAAAACTCCATGGAGCGGATGACATGTAACATCGGCAGCCCCAAGAGCAGACTCTCTTCTACCCAGAGTGCGAAGGTGGACAGTGAGGAAGACAATGGAACATCCTCGAAAGTCATGGACCACCCTGATCAGAAGTGCCTCGACGATATTCGACTCCAGAGGTGCTTCAAACACTCAACTATGATGAACTAAGGAGATTGAGTCGATATGGCGGGTTAGAGGCTTCAGCAAAGCACGGCAAGAGAGCAAGAAAGAGCTTTGAGTCGAGTCGGGATCAAGGTTCGCTAGCCGAGGACGTCACATCGAGCTCGATAGTCGTCTTGAAATGACGAGGAGGAGGATAGCGATGGGGTGCACAGTCTGGACCCTCGAGTGAGACCGAGCTTAAGTCTGTGTCAACTTGTGTCGTCGGTTGTGCAGGGACGTTAGATGACTGAATGAGGGAGGTCAGTTGGGAGAGTAGGTACGAGGAAGAGAGAGGACTCGAAGGACAGTCCTATGAGTCCTTGTGCGTACAACCCAAGTACAGTCCATTCGGTTTATTCCTCCCGTTTATATCTATCCATCAGTCAATCTGTACCTAAGCTCTTTCTCAGTCGCATCATATCGACCAGACCTTAAATTCGTTTTGTGCTGGAAGTAGCGAGTCCACAGTATTGTGTCGACAATGACAGACTAACGCTCTACTTTCTGAACAGAATTTTTGTTCTATTCCAGGCAAGGGGAGGAGCCCATTGGCCTAAATAGTCGGAACCTCATTGGGATTGTGAATGTACAATTTATAAACTTTGTATGAAGTGATTTGTTGACTCGATGAATGGGTTGTAATTTAATTGAAGAAAATGAAAGGTAACCAGATTGAGACGGACCCGATCTGCTCATGCAGAAAGCACCCGCCTTAGGACAATCGTACGTATCAAAGGCAGGGATTTTTGAGGATCAAGATGGATCTACTGAATCTCTTACACGTGATCACAATTTCCATGATCCAGTGTTTCGCGTTTTGAAGGTCCGAATGCCCAGTACGCGAGAGATGCGGGAGACAAGCTCTTGCAGAACTTAACCACTGGACATTGTGCTGCTCTGAATTTTGATGATCCGTTGGCCACTTTTCGTTCTCAAAGTGTGCTCTTCGTAGCCCAAACGCGTCTCCTCCATTCTCTCTCTCGAAGATTCAGCAAGAAATAAAATCCTGGTCGTATCTCTCACCATTATCGATATGGGCAGTCCCGACTGTTTGTTTACTCGAGGACTAGATCGAATACTAAGACTGCGCAGAAACATACATTTTAGGGACTTATAGTTGCAAGCTCTGAACGATCTCTGTCTTTATCTGCGGTAAAAATGCTCTATGGGTCCTCTGAGATAAGAAAACTGAAACGCAACGATTGACTTTGGTGTCAATCCTCGGAAAAATTTTGTCATGAAGCGATACAAATTTTACAGTTACAATGGGATATAAGATCCTTCGATAGCATGCTTGTTTTCGAATATATTTTCACCTTTACCTGCACCCACCTACATTTACATGAATTTGCCCAAATTGTATCGAGACAAATATTCTTCACGTCCAATCTATGGATTAAAGCATACAGATCTGAGTTCTAGAAATTTCATTAAATTCCAACTGAAATTGACTCTAGTAAAGTGCTCATGAGGAAGTCGGGGGACAAGGATTTGTCACGAAGGTCTGGGAGAAAACCAAGTGCAATGCACAGTGAAGGAAAATTGGATTCGAACAACAACGCCAGCTGTGAGACAGAAAGATCTTGGCAATGCAGGCAGGCAGGCAGGCTTCAGCAAGGACGCAATGTGCTCACTGATCGAACTCAAGCCCAAGGCCACGCATGCATTCGGCTCACACTGCCGTAATTGTGCCACTTACGTATGAAATGGGTTTGGAGAGCATTCCGTACGGGCTGAAGCTGCCCAAGCTTTACGTGAAGGTGCGCCAAGCCCATCCCAACCCATGACACAACAGTTACGATCAATTGAGTCTGAGGGAGTGAGGCTGAACGTAGTCAACGTGGTAAGGACAAAGGGGAAAATACAAGTCGAGCCTAATCAATGTTACGTCTGGCTCAAAGCCGCAGACGCAATCTTTGACGAGCCCGGAAAGAATCTTATCTGTAATGCAAAGAGTGTGGTTATTAAAATTATAAAGTATGCAGTTTCAGATGAGGTTAGGGATTGAAGCTGATTGTAATTGCGATAGGGGAAGGGAGGGAGAGACGAAGATGGGCGAGACGGTACATGCCCGTGGTACTGGAGATCGTACTGGAGGACGTTGGTCCAAGGGGCAGATGATTCTGATGTTGCGTCGTTTATGGGATTGTGACACATGCAGACGAGATTCTGGCCTCATGGAAAAGGGGTGATTCTGCTGCAGCTGTTGCAGCATGCAGATCGAATGATTTCAGTTCGGCGGGCGGGGGAGCATGCGCCTTGACCGGAACTCTGACGACGACGAAGGAGGGGGAGAGGTGGAGAGGAGGAGAGGAGGAGAGGAGGAACAAGAGAAGAAGAAGAAGAAGAAGAGGAGGAAGAAAAACTAGGATTTTATTTGCTGCGGAGGTGGATGATGATGCAGTAATCGAATATCCACAGTACCGGACACCTCGCCCGTCTGGAAGTAACCGAGGGTTTCGAGATAATCAGAAGATGAGGCCAAAACTCAAGAGCGCTTAGAAACGAGAGGCAGGCGACGACACTTCCAGTGGCTGTTTCCATGACGGGTCGACATAAATTCGCCTGCAGGCGGTGATCACAATCCATGGCCCTCCAGCCCTACCTCGGGCCTCGTCCGTATCACTGACACGCTCCAATTCTCACCGACTCTCAGCTCACTACTTAACTCTATCACCACCCCCGACGGATCACTACTGAGAGCTGCTCTGAGTTCCGATAGCGAGTCGTTGGATTCTGCGGCTGAGAGAGAGAGAGAGAGAGAGAGAGAGAGAGAGAGGCTCTCACCGCCACTTCTTCCAGCCTTGCTCAGTCTGAACAGCCAGCACCCGATCGATCAGCCGCCGCTGAGAGCGAATTGCCATCGAGCTGTGTGTATATATAAATACCTCTCCGCAGTCAGTGCTATAGAGCTCCTCTCCTTCACTTGCCACTCTCGAAAGCTCTTTCTCTACCAGCACTGGCTGGCTATTGTTGTATCTCCCGGTGGACGTGATCTAAATTTCAGGTCTCTTGGGGCATACAAAACCTTCGTGTGACGGTCTGTTGCGTTTGGGCGTTTGGGAAAACAAACGCCCTCGCTACTCACTCTCTCTCTCTATCTCTCTCTCTCTTCCTTCATGGGACGGATATTTTTCTTCAATTTGCATTCAATTTCAATTCTTCAACGTCACTCGATCTCTAGCTAGATCACTCGGATAGAATCTGCCGCTCATCTCCTTCCCCTCGGCCTGTCTAAGGATCGCGCTCTACTCGAGAACGTTTCGAAATTGTAGCTCCGAGGTGATTGAATTTATCGGAGAGCTGTTGCAGAAGGCTGTACCAGGCCGAGCTATAAAGTATGGAGAAATAATAGAGCTTCCGCGCTAGGCTGCATGTGATTGACCCTTCGTGAACTGGTTCCGACGGCCGGACTCGTCGTCATCGGTGGATCTGAATCTGAATCTGCTCGATTGATCGAAGCTCAGGTTGGGATCGAATTCCGCGCTGCGTGCAGATATACTGTGTATTCAGATATAGACGTACTTGGAGTACGCATCCGGGGAAGCGGGAAGCATCCCACAGCATCGAGCTGATCTGATCTACCTCTCGTCTTGCGCGGTCACCAGACGATTCCTGTCCCCGAGGTGGTTACTACGGTTCAGCCAGAGCAGGGGCGAGGGCAGAGATGGAGCAGGAGCTGCACCCGATGGAGGGGGACTCGATGTCGGACCTGCAGGACGTGCGCATGGAGGACGTGTTCGAGCGGCTGACGTGCTCGACGTCGGGGCTGAGCACGGAGGAGGCGGTGCGGCGCATCGACATCTTTGGCTACAACAAGCTGGAGGAGAAGCGCGAGAGCAAGGTGCTGAAGTTCCTGGGGTTCATGTGGAACCCGCTGTCGTGGGTCATGGAGTTCGCGGCCATCATGTCCGTGGTGTTCCTGCCGATGAAGCCCGACTACTACGACCTGGGGGGCATCATCGGGCTGCTGGTCATCAACTCGACCATCAGCTTCATCGAGGAGAATAACGCCGGCAACGCGGCGGCCGCGCTCATGGCGCGCCTGGCGCCAACCACCAAGGCACTGCGCGACGGCAAGTGGGCGGAGATGGACGCGGCGCTGCTGGTGCCCGGGGACATCATCGCCATCAAGCTGGGCGACATCATTCCAGCCGACGCGCGGCTGCTGGAGGGCGATGCGCTGAAGATCGACCAGTCAGCGCTGACGGGCGAGTCGCTGCCGGCCACCAAGGGGCCAGGCGACGGCGTGTACTCGGGCTCGACCTGCAAGCAGGGCGAGATAGAGGCGGTGGTGATCGCCACGGGCATGAACAGCTTCTTCGGCAAGGCGGCGCATCTGGTCGACAGCACCAACCAGGTCGGGCACTTCCAGAAGGTGCTGCAGTCGATCGGCAACTTCTGCATCTGCTCCATCGCCTGCGGCATGGTGGTGGAGATCGTCGTCATGTACGGCATCCAGGGCCGCAGCTATGCCGACGGGATCCACAACCTGCTGGTGCTGCTGATCGGCGGGATTCCCATCGCCATGCCCACCGTGCTCTCGGTGACGATGGCGATCGGTGCGCACAACCTCTCGACGCAGGGCGCCATCACCAAGCGCATGACGGCCATCGAGGAAATGGCCGGCATGGACATCCTCTGCAGCGACAAGACCGGGACTCTGACGCTCAACAGGCTCACCGTCGACAAGAACCTGGTCGAGGTCTTCGAGCCCGGCATGGACCGCGAGACCGTCATCCTGTACGCGGCGCGCGCCTCGCGCACCGAGAACCAGGACGCCATCGACGCGACGATCGTCGGCTCGCTCGAGCATCCGAGCCAGGCGCGCGCCGGCATCCGCGAGCTGCATTTCCTGCCCTTCAACCCGACCGACAAGCGCACGGCCATCACCTACGAGGACCAGGGCGACGGCCTCTGGTGGCGCACCACCAAAGGCGCGCCCGAGCAGATCCTGGCGCTGGCTTGCAACCGCGACGAAATCAGCACGCGCGTCCACAGCGTCATCGACAAGTTTGCCGAGCGCGGCCTGCGCTCGCTGGCCGTCGCGATCCAGCCCGTGCCGGAGCGCAGCAAGGAGAGCGCCGGCGGGCCGTGGCGCTTCTGCGGCCTCATGCCGCTCTTCGACCCGCCGCGACACGACAGCGCCGAGACGATCCGCCGCGCCATCAGCCTCGGCGTGAGCGTGAAGATGATTACCGGCGACCAGCTGGCCATCGGAAAGGAGACCGGTCGCCGGCTGGGCATGGGGACCAACATGTACCCGTCGTCGGCGCTGCTGGACACTGCCGGCAAGGACGCCGGCGCCAACAAAACGGCGGCCGGGATCGTGCAGGACGTGGACGACCTGATCGAGAAGGCCGACGGGTTCGCGGGCGTGTTCCCCGAGCACAAGTACGAGATCGTCAAGCGCCTGCAGGCGCGCAGGCACATCGTGGGCATGACGGGCGACGGCGTGAACGACGCGCCGGCGCTCAAGAAGGCCGACATCGGCATCGCGGTGGACGACGCGACGGACGCTGCGCGCAGCGCCTCCGACATCGTTCTGACCGAACCGGGGCTCAGCGTCATCATTAGCGCCGTGCTCACGAGCCGCGCCATCTTCCAGCGCATGAAGAACTACACGATCTACGCCGTCTCCATCACCATCCGCATCGTGGTCGGCTTCCTCTTCCTGGCCCTCATCTGGAAGTTCGACTTCTCGCCCTTCATGATCCTGGTCATCGCCATTCTCAACGACGGCACGATCATGACCATCGCCAAGGACCGTGTCAAGCCGTCGCCGCTCCCCGACAGCTGGAAGCTGCGCGAGATTTTTGCCACGGGCATTTTCCTGGGCTTGTACCTGGCCTTCATGACGGTGATCTTCTTCTGGCTGGCCAACGACACCACCTTCTTCACTCGCGCCTTCGGCGTGAGCTCTATCAGCAACCAGAAGGGCAAGCTCATGTCCGCCATCTACTTACAGGTGAGCATCGTCAGTCAGGCTCTGATCTTCGTGACGCGCTCCCGTAGCTGGTCCTTCACGGAGCGCCCGGGCTTCCTGCTGCTGTCGGCGTTCCTGGTGGCTCAGATGATCGCCACTCTGCTGGCCGTGTACATGAGCTGGGACTACGCGTTCATGGAGGGCCTCGAGTGGAGATGGGCGGCCGTGGTCTGGCTCTGGAGTCTCATCACCTACATTCCCCTGGACCCGATCAAATTCGCCATCCGCTACGGCATCGCCGGCCAAAACCGGAGGAACGCACGTTTCCAGCCATCGCTCTCGATGAGCAGAGCAGCAGGCAAGCGTCTGACGAGCAATGCCGCATGTCAACCCAACGGCAAGACCTCATCCTAGCCCGCTACCCAAATCGTCACCTTGTCGGCATTATCGTAGACGAGCATGATTTCGAACGTAATTAGAAGCATCGGGCCTAATTTCTCGACGCCCCTTTGGAACCAGATACAAGAATTGCTCTGTTTGATCAGATCCTTTCCTGCCTTCCCTGCCTTCCTAGCCATCGAGCTACTACTTCGATCCGTAGTTGACGAGTGGGAGCCCAAATTTCATGTGGACTTTGTGTTAGGAGCGTACATGCTAAACTTGGGAATGTGTACTCGGGCTTTACTAATTACCTCGATTGTGAGGGATTCAGATGCTTTTCCTAGCTGGTTATGTTAGAGTGTGTAGATGGGAGGAATGATTCTTGATGTCGCAAGTGCTGCTGGAGCGAGCTCAGAGCTCCCATGAAGGATACAACATTCAGATACGTACTGCATGACGAAGCACCGTAACTTGTTAGTCTCCTGACTCGAAGGCACGACCATTGCTTTTTACGTGCGTTCCTCGATTTTCCTCGAGTGATTCGATCTGGAGCCAGGAAAGAACGCAGTCTGCTCATCCACATGCTCCTCACGGAAAGAAAGTCGGGGTTTCTCAGTCAAACGCCAGTAGCCATCTCTTCGACCTCGCTGATCATGATTTTGTCGGCTTCATGTCCGAACACCTCAAAAATTCGTGTACCAATAAAGTAGAGCACACTGTCGCACCTGGGCTGGTGCTTCCACTTCAATTCGGAATGTCATGCTTCTTCTACTCGAACACAGTTAGCAGATCCACAGTGTTTGGGATGATGAATTAAACGTCGACACTCTAATGACGAAGGGAATCTTGTGAGTTGACGTCAAGTACACTAATTTACGTCTAACCGATGGAAAAGTTATTCGAGGGTTCATTTCAGGATGCGATGACTCAAAACTCCTGACGATGGAAACTTTTGATCGCTTGATCTTCCTCTCGATCCCACTGGATTGTAAGCAGCCTTCGTTCTCCGTTGCGTTGGCAGGTTGATCTTCCTGTCGCGAAACGTGAAGTCATCTTTCTGTAACACAAGAGAGTTCATAAGCAGGTCAAGAGATCATGGCGTCTGATTCCAGGGATGACTCGAATGCACGATCCACACGAATTTCAGTAATTGTGCATCGTAGCCGATCCCTGCGACACACTAGCCCAATCCAAGTGTCTTAGGGCCAAACCATTAACATGTACACCTGAAAGTTGGTTGATGCGCGAGCTTGGATCAAATTTCTGTCTCCTCAGTTTCATTAACCGATACCGATTTCCTTATCCAGCAGTCCAGATTTTCTCACTGAATCTCCCAGCTCACGAGAACCGTCTCCTGATCATCGTTAACAGCATCCAGAGACCGGCCCTGGAAACCACGTCCTTGTCCACCGTTCCCTCATGATCACAATATGATATAACCAGCTAGGTTGTTAGAAGCACCTGGAGCCCGTGAATGTTGATGTTCACACTGGAACCCTGTGCTCGTCCTCAAGGAGCTTAGAACATACACCTGGAACCCAATGACCAGTCATCCACCCTCGAAAAGCCGAAATTCTAGTGCTACCTCTCAGTGCACACCCTTGCGGTAGAACTGAGCGATCGACTAGGTACAGTAGGTAGGCAGACGGTACACCCAACTCCTGCGAATCAATTCTGCCCCAGTACAATGACCACTCCATGGATCCACGTTTGGTACATACAAACCACATAGCGTGACCTTTGCGACCGAGCCCGATCGGAAGCTTGTCAGATAATTACACAAGTTGAATTGAATCGACCAATTCAGTGGTGGATTCAATTCTGTGGTGATATTAAGAATGCTGCAGTAGCCAATACACAAGACTTCCGTCGACACGCCTAATTTTCGAGGCGTCAAATCAATTCTGATTAGTGATAATAGGCAGCCAATGTCGATTAGTGACAACCTGTGCGTCTTGATGACGAATTACGCGATATGCGTTGTCTACGAAGATTCAGATATCATTCTTCGGATGTTATCACGCAACTTCTGGTTCAATTTCTTCATAGATGCTTTCTTAAATGTCGAGCCTACATCTATAATCGGGTGATTCATACATTCATACGTGCGCGTTGGTTCGCTCATATGACTAAGGTACTTGTGAATATGTAAAACGGGTGGAACAGGACGCTTTGTTTGCATGCATTCAATCAATACGTACTAAGGCAGATAGGGACGCTGGGGATAAAATTCCCAATAAAGCTGTAAGGCAAAGAATGAATCGTTTAGGCTATTAAACTAGGAACTCTTCAAACAGCCATTCACACAAGTGACTGGCATTGGGTCCATGAGTTGGTTTCGAAAAATTTGGAGACCAGCAAGTAAATTTGGAGCCGTGCGCCAGAAGAAGCGTGAAGTGCTATTGCCTCTCTCGTGATCAATATTTCCAGTAGATACCCCTACATTGGTTAGTCTTGACAAGAAAGAACAGACAATAATAATTCACAAACCGACCAAATCCATATAGTAGGTAGTAAAGATAGTCGAGGGAAGCTCCGGGTCCCGGATGTAGGTATTCGTTGGTTATGCAGTCATTAATGGTGATATGTTACCTAATTGAAGTATGTAATCTTACATTCAAGTGTTTATAGATTTTGGGTTAAAAATCAATAAATTTATGTATGAAATATAGGGAAAAGAATATTTTTATGCATTTGATCATTAGTAAAAATATATTCGTGTAATAATTTTATTCATCTTTTGTCTGATTCAAGAGATGGATACAAATATTACATGAAAATATTCTATTAATTATATAAAAAATCAAATATAATACAAATTATATCATATTTAAATTTTATATAGATTTTTTACATTATCTTCATGACATGTTTCTCTTAACCGAGTCATATCAATTCCCTACTGACTAAGTTTTTTTTTCATACCTCCTAAACCATTGGCCAAATATTATAATCTCAAAATATTTAACACCATTTAAAGTTGAACATCCTGTCCCAACATGGATAACCAGATAGTAACCAAGATTATAATAGATGTGATATACAGCATATTGCATCTATTATATTCCAAGTTACACTTTATTATATATTCAGATGTCTTTTCCTGAATTCTAATGTAGTGGACTGAATAACAATCAGTAGCGCATTATTCCTCGGCCAAGGATGGGATAGCAAGGCTAGACACTACATTCTGGTACAAAGCATGGATGCTTCAGACAAAGGATTGGTGCGAAGAGTGGACCCGACCCGCTCACAAGCTCAGGTCGAGGCTGAAGCAGCTGATGTAACACTTGCAAGATAGTGAAAAGGCGCCAACCGTCGCCGTCGGCGACGTCCGGCCGTATTTCGGTGATTGCGCATGACGTGCCTGCGCAAACCGGCCGCCGGTTTTAATGGAACCGCGACGTCTCCAGACATAGGGCACGGTCTTATAAAACAGACGATAGTTACCGGATGACGTACCTAACGGAATTCAGGTTGTGCAAATCGAAGCTGTGACATTTTGGACTGTGAAACTATGTATTACTGTCTAGGAAAACTTTTCTACTTATTAATTTAGTATCCACATAATCATCACATCACGTGAAATCACTTTATGTTGTGGATCCTGTACTTAGCATGTACAGATTCATATAACAGAGTTATCACAATGCTCCAAAGAGACTGATACTATAGTCTCGTAGGTCTTACCTCATTTTCTCAAGTAGGTCATTATAGCTCCACACAATCTGAAAGATGTTGTACATGAAGGTGATCTTTATACGTACTTTTCTATCTGGATACCTTGTCTTTTTCTCCATTGGCCATTCAGATAGGAAGTTGTGAAATCAACAAATAAATTGTATGATTATGTGAGCATATGTATCCAAAATATATGAGATTATATTATGATAATCTCAAACCAAATATATGTAAGCAAGGTACCTGGTTACTTCATGGCTAACTTGTTAAAGACCGCGATGCTCGGTGAGTGATTGACATAGCCAAACACTTTATGTATAGGACAGACGACTCTTCGTTTCCCTTTGCTGTCTTCTTCTTTACATCATCATGCTCTAGACCTGACCTTTTGCTTTCAGTGCTTTCCTTTTATTTAGACTACAAACAGTTTTGTGTGAATTTTCTGGAGAGCATTCCCTCCCTCCCAGTAGAATTTTATCCTTTACCTGTGACTCGAATGGAGGGAAGATAAATACACTCATATTATCCGCTCATGCTTCACAACTTGTTCATACCATTTGCTACAAAGAAGGATAAGCGTAATCGTGATGATGAAAGAGCAGATTCACTCGTTGTTAAGTACTCCAGACTATCACACGGTGAAGGAACCGGGGGTTATGACATATGTCAGGAATGGCAGCTTCTAGGGTTCAAGGCAGTAGCACTCGAAGATATCTTTGTCGGTGAATGAAGGCCTGGAGGAGAGTAAAGGAGAGATGATAATATCCACCACCCACCGTACCGACCATTACATCACCTGAGAAAACAATGAGTGAAAGATGTGAGCGATATTTGAGTAAATAACAAAGCGTACTAGAAAGCTCTAAATTATATTTTTCGTACCAATGAACGTGTTTTCAAAACCTAGGATTATATAATAATGAAATTGAGGTTTAATTCTTTTCTATAACAAATACTTTCAATTTTTTGTTTGTAAATAAAACTGCCAAAAATTTGCACTGCTAGTCAAATTTCTAATTATCATGAATACAGATACATACTTAGCAATTTATAGGAAATATCTCTCACAACACTGTAAGCACTATAATACTCTTTCACAATCTTATACAGAAATGAATAAACTCTCTAAGCAAAATTCCAGTTTTTCCACTTATCCTTGTGAAGGAAATAGTGAGTGCGAGGAATGAATGGCTGGTACGGTAACAGATCGAGAGACGGGCAAAAGAGCGTGTCTGAGTGAGTGTGCCTTCCTGTCACACTAACTTTTGATGCTGAATGTTGTCAGTCGGATATCTCTCATCCAGAAGATACACAATGGCCCAGTTACCAGGATCCGGAGTTAAAATGTGTCCGAATCCCAGTAGAATATGGTGGAAACGTGGTAGTCTAGGATGAGGGTGGGATTCGTCATAACAATGGGCTGGCTCATCTGATCAATCATTGTTCAGATAAGTGTTGCCTTGTTCTGCTCTGCTCAGACATCCGTAATCCGGATCGGGTCCGAGCATCAAGCATGTAGACAAGCAAGCATCACCCATGGAGCGCAGGCAAGACGGGAATCATGATAACGCAGCTCGGCCCTCATCAATCAACAAAAGCGTAGCTCTCTTCCCCCGGATCCGAGTCCCAGCCGAATCCTCCACGAGGGCAATGCCTCCTGCGCTGAGTCGCAGGACGCGACGCGTGGCCTGGAGCAGAACACAGAGCAGCTGCAGTAGTAAGGAAGGAAGGAAAGACGGACGGACGAACGGGGATTGGGATCGACGACGTCGGTAGCGAGCTGGCGATTCGTTATCTGAGAGCTGGAGGAGGAAGGAGGAGAACAAGACGAAGACAAAACGAGAGGAGCGGAGCGGTCCAGCACCGAGAGTATCTTCGATTTTGTTCAATGCAATCTTCGTCCTCTTCAGAATCTGTCTCTTCGTTCTGATTAGGCCACTGCCGTCGTTTGTGGATCGATTGATTGGTGCAAGAGAGTTGGTGAAAGGCTGGATCTCGATTCACTTCAGTTCACTTTGGCTTCACTTCAGCTCAGCTCCTCGTAGCTCACCCTCTGGAGTACCGGTCAAAGTCGCCGCAATCTCAGCCAGCCAGTCAGTTACTCGGTCAACCCACAGTAGCAGTCGAAACAGCCTTCGGTACAATACGGTCAGCTGGCCGGTGGCCGGTCACTCCGTAGTAGGGACGTGGTACGTTCCATGCTTGCTGGCACATCGGAGCGATGCGTTCTTCTTCTCCTTCTCGTTTCGTCTCGTTCGTCTTGAAATTGATGAATGTCTTTGGGTGATGTGCATGGATGGAGGAGGCCGACGAGAAATTGCCTTTGATGCAGGGACTCGGGCCTCTGCCTCGAGTCCCTGCGTGCATGTCCACTCTGCTGCCCCGAGGATCTGTCTGCATTCGATGCCGACGTGTCGGAATGATCCGGACGAGCTCTACGGGCTCTCGTTTCCATGCCCCCTGCCGACGTTCTCCTCGGGCTGTGGAGGAAAGGCTCTATCCGTGCTTCACCTTCCGGTCAGTCGGACTCGCCTTCTGATGCACCATGTCGAAGACCAGCGGGACGGAGGCTAAATCACTGCAGGACTCGTCGATTGATGTACCCCTCTGCAAAGTTTTTAACGACCCCGGTTCGTGTTTTTGTCGACATGCGCATGGAGTTTGACGTGCGAGCGATCGAGAGACCTCGCAGTTTGTGTCCGGGTGGAGTAGATCGTCGAGACTGCGAGCATAGAACTACACAAATTCTCCCCTCGATTCGCCATCTGCACAACCACCGGCTTATATGATGAAATACAAGCATTTGTTCTACTCCTGATAATAAACGACAGCCAGTTGGACCGAATGCTTCTCATGACTCTGTCCTCTCTGGACTGTGATTTGGACTTCAAATATCGACGACGAATACGCGACGATCACGCGGGCAAATCCATTAGCAGCGCAGCGAGACTCGATCTGTTTCTGAACGTCTGGAAATTTTGAGCCGACTGTGATTCGCTCAATGAGCCATGGAGCAGTGCTTTGGCGACTTCCGATTTTCCTGGTCTCTTCTGCGTATGACAATGACCGAAGAAAGCAGAGTGTTCCTAGATAGTACCTGGCATTGACCTGGTCTCCTTATGGAATTGTGTGATTTCGAAGGCTACGAGTATTGTGTCCAGCGGAAGAGGGGATCAGGTATGAAAGCATAATGTAAGGAAATTCCATGCCACTTTGAACGAGTCACCTGCTTCTGAAACTCTTTTAAGCTGGTGCATGAACACAAGTGCAACCATTCATCATAAGAGTCATTCCTTCATGAACACGCATGTGTCACCGGGCAGAAACATGGAAGGCTACTTGGGGATTTTTCAGCCAGATAAGTCAGAATGGAATCTATCTATCAAAGTCCAGTGCTTGTCCTTCAAGTTATCAAACTCATCTTATTTACTTGCGGCTGTTGTATCATGAATCAAAACATTGGGAGAGGCCATGCTGGAAGACACAATCGTTTTGCCTGCTATTTTGCTCGATCCGGTTTTGAAACTAACTCGGAGTTTTTCCAAGTTGTCCAGCTCGTAAATTGACGAGAGAGAGATAGCTGGATCTGCTGTCCATACGCATTTTGGGCAGACAAGCACGAGGACGCCTATAATTCAAGTCAGGAAAGCAATCCAAGGAAGACAAAGACGAAAAACACGGTACTGTCAAAAGAATGAGTATGTCCTTATGTTTCGCATCACCAAAACAAACCTCGCTCTGTAAATGACGATCTCTGAACTTTATACGATATTTATTACAAACATGTATCAGCTCACAAGTGGATCAAACTGTATCCAATCTGTACTATAGCAAATCTATCTTCAACGACACTTAGATTCCTAAATCAAGAATTGTCTCCCAACTGCATTCAATATGTAGTGTGTAGACATGCGTTAGCACATCCATCTCCAACTTCGCGGTGAGCAGAACGAAAGTTTGCACTTGAAATATTTTTTCTTGATACTTCCAACCTCAGATCCACTCTTCTACGAATTGCGTCATGATGCACAAGAACTTGTCTCTTGAGATCACGTCCCGATACGCATTTTGGGAACTGAGCTAGTCCACATGCACAGTCTACTAGACGCGGGCTTTACTCTGTATTCAGAGACTGTTCAAGCATTCATAGGGAAATTGGACAGAATATCGTGAAACACAGAAACCAATTTTTCTGGCGGTGAGATTCTGTGCCAAGTTTCTGAAAACCTCAAATCATGTTCTTGAAAGGTAGAACAATCCGTTGTGGGATTGGTTTTCCATGCACTGTATTCAATACTGTAGTGGGCGAAACTCTTCTACCAGTTTGGATCTATTGTCGCTTGACAAGCATGTCTTGGTACATTGACCGTATAAGCTTACTTCTCTTTCTAATAGACACGGATGCTTTGGATTGAGTCACGGTACTGGTACTAAGCGAGAAATGGGTTAGATATGAATTGCATGTGGTCCTGGGAAAATCGCTTCCAGAGTTTAGTTTCAATTTTTGAATGTCTCCAAAGCCTGTAGACATTCCAGCTGCTCACGGGAGCCATCAACATCTTTTGCAGACAGTAATTTTCCACGTGTTTCATTTTCATAATTCCAAAATGCTCACCAGAGTGCGTACATTAACATTGAGATCTTTCCCAGCAGCGAGAGAATAGCTGAGCAAGTCCAGAGCTTTGGCTATCCAAGAGTGAAGAGCCCTGCCACCAAGTTTTGATTCGGATCAACAAAATACCCGTTCATTCCAGTAGTGGGATTGAAAAACCTTCGGGACGTAACAACTATGGGAAAGTTCTCACGGTGTAGCAAAACTCATAGCCATTATATTCCAGATCCCACATGAAGTTAAAATTACAGCATTTCTTTTCGCATAGAGGCAAGTTCTAAACATGGGCAGACAGGCTTCAAGCCTTTCCTGATGTTCAGGGGTTCACAATAATTTCACGGAATATCGGTCGTGCAGAATGCTCAAAGTAGAAAGCAGAACATTTCCAGATATGAACCTGTCCATAATATAGCTCTCATTATCATCATCAATGTCTTCAGTCACGTACATCATCATTTCATCATCTTTAATTAGAAATTGAGTTAGCGTCTTTCTCAATGGAGTGAAGATACTCGTCTCCAGGGCACAATGAAATACTTAGTTTGTCATTCAGACCTTGATTCGCATCAAGGCAGTGCAGGGAGGGCCAGGGTAGCATGGACTGCAGGAGCACAAATCTCTAGGGCGGAAGTCAAGGATAAGTACTCTTCAGATCGGAAAACCAACAAGCTTGTAAACTCCTCGTCTCCGCATCAATCTCTGTCCTGACGTCAAATATTGTGGTCTCACCGACGCCCAATTATGCAGCTCATTTCATATCCTGCGTTGACAGCAATGGAACAATACTACGAGCAGATAGGAACCGACTGCAGGAAGAGTCTCTGATCCAGATCGTGAGCTGATCCAGATGCGGATCACAAACGAACCCGGGCCACAACCAAAACCGCGACGCTCAACAGTGTCTGTATGACCTGAATGAGCCGGTCAACGAGTACCGAAACCTGCTCTCTCCTCTGCAGCATCCATATCTTCGACTGGGACCAAATCAAACCACGGATACGGTAGTAACGATAGCCGAGGGAGGCCCCAGGCGCCCGACCCAGGGGACGGGGTAGTCATTGGTGACTGCAGTCTTAAGCGTTGAGTCAGCGCAGTTCGCGCATGCACACATCCGCGGTAGGTACAGCTCCAGGGGCGACGAGAGCGGGACACGCGGCCACGGCAGGTCCACCCGGTTTTAGGCTTTGTTTATCGGTGTTTATCGGGTACCCAATTATCCTCGGGATGAGCTGGAGGACGTCTACGACGAGGGGATGCGATGAGCTGCCGCTGGATGGATGGAAGGATGGAAGGATGGATGGATAGATGGATCACGGATGGATGCCTGGGCCATGGGAGCTCTGGCGACGTCGGAGTGTGTGCGTAGTCAGACAAAATGGATAATTCCCGAATCGTGACGACCGAGTAGCCATTTCTGTCGCGTGCAAGGCTCGAAGGGACCATCGGACCGTCCATCTGGATCCGGAGGGTCTCACGCGCCGTATGTTGGTCCACTGTCCAGGAATCTTATCGAAAAGGGGACCTTGTCTCCGTTTCAAGCTCTCTCGCTCGCGCATTCTGATTTCTGACTCCCCATCCTCTTACGTGCACGAGTGATGATGAATCGAACCCTTCCCTTGTTGCAGCCGAGTTTCCAGCGCCCGACGCCCAATCCGACTCCGTCCCGGTCGTCACCCACCTCCTGGTATTTGTGTCGCCCGAGTCTTTCTATTGGGTGGGAACTGACGGACGAAATATCATGTTTGGGTGCCCCGTCCCTCACGCAATGCAATGCAATGCTGCAGCACTTGCTGCACTTCGCGAGTGGTTGAAAATTGTCCTACGCCTTTACTAATCCACAGCATTTTTCCCGGTCGCTGCAGCTCGTTGAGCTCGTCGAGGACTCAACGAGGTATGGATGATGATAATGCCATAAGAAGATATACTAATCGATAAATCAGTTTGGTGGAATCCTTGCATCCGTAAAATTGGCTTGAAGTTTTGGAGTAGATGAAGAAAACCTCTGGAAGGGATGGAGACAGAGCATCAAAAGAAGGAGAAGCAAGAGGTACAGATGGGGCCGAAGAGAAGAGAAGAGAAGGGGAGGGGAGGGCTCCGCAGAGGATGGCAAGGGATCATGCTGGGAATTCATGTGCGGCCTAACAATGTTTCTCGGCGTCTGAGCCGTGAAACAGTCGTGAGCTCGTGTGGCCATAGCTGTTGCTGGCTCTGGCCCGAAATAAGACCTGCGAATGCATTCCCTGAGCTTTTTCAATACATGTACGTGAAGGACGAACGTTCAGAGCCATTTGCAAGTTTTGAAATCGTTAATCAAAGCCAGGACTCCAATCCACCCACCCACCGTGATCAACCAACGAATCAAGCTTTATTGTTGGACTTCAAATTGCTTCTAACCTTCTGTCCTACTGCATACTTAGCACGTAAGGTCAACCAACCTTCACGTCGTCCTACAACATTTCCACATTCTACGTCCGGTCTGCAAGTTCAGAGCACTTATACGTGCTCTTCATTGGATTTCCATATTCTCGACAAATTCGTCGTTGTCCACTCTTCTCAGACCTCTCATAGCTCACGGGGAAAGCATCTCCCAGCCATTTAGATACGTAGGCCATAATTTGTTTTGGTGATGGCCTCGCAAGCTTCTGCGGCAAGGCCACCAGAAATAGTCACGGCAGTCACTTAGACAATGGCATGCTTTCGCTGTCTGTCAGCCATGGGTCCATAGCCTTTCCATGCTAAGCACAGAGCCACATTGTTCATGGCAAGCAGTAAATCGTCCCGACTCCTCAAGAGAGTACTATAAGGCTTCGAGAGTGCAGGTACCTATACCAGGGGAATCTTCCGAGTTGAGCTTATTTCAGCTCGGACTGACAGGGCAAAGAAATTTTCCAGGCCAGAGCTCACAGCTTAGTATGTTAACAGATTATCACCATGGCATAGAAAAGGGCAAGCAGCCGACTGGGATGGGCTTCAGGATGGGACCGGAAGGAAAAGACCGCATCGTCGTCGTGGGAAGGTTTGGGCTCACTCTCACTCTTCCTCTCTCTCTGTGCTTAGCCGCCGTTGGACATGGTGAGATCTTCATCAACCATTCACTTCTTCGACAACATTTGTCGTGCTTTTATCCAGGAGCCAACGCTTCCGTTGGCTTTTCATACAGAGAGACAGATATATATCCGGTGTCAGACAATAAAGTTGTGGATTCATTTTTGCATCAGGGCATGCTTCGATCACAGAAAGTGTCATGCGCAACTGGGTCTTTTTTATTCTAAAGTCAAACCGAGTGAATATTTTTCGATGACGGAGAGCATAAACTAAAGTCATGCATACCTTTTGATGCTGCCGGAATCCGGATTGCATGCGGTGTGTGGGTCGTACTTTTCCGCCGCTTTACAAAATTCCGGAAAAAACATCTTCACGAGAAGCTCTATGAAACTTTCCAGCAGTGCTAGATCTCAGCTCAGGCTCACTGGGAGCCGGTCACAGTAGCCGGTCACATGATCATCTCGAGCGTACGAGCAAGCTGGTCAAAGTCCTCGGCCGGCACAGTGACCTCACCTCACACACTTGGAGCAAAACTTCAGACCTCATACCCCACAACTCAATTCAGCAAAGTTCCAACCAGCGTCTGCTTACATCTTTCAAATCGTGGAATGCAATCCAGGAGACTTGTGGGCTTCAGTACCCACAACAAAACAAATTCAACAAATCCAGTTTAAGCTTTATATTTTATAATTCCAATGCAGATCGGAAGATGAAGCGCGTCGTGCTTTGGTTAACTCCTGGGAGTGATGGTCGAGGGGTTCTAGCCATAGTTCATTCGATGCCTCGTGTCGGTCTCTGTTTTTGTGCCTCGAATGCTCACTTTGCCTGCTGCTACTGCTGTTGCTGGTCTTGTTCGACTTGAGACGAGAAGGATGATTCAAAATCCTTCTCCGCGTGAGAGCACAATGCTGCAGCCACCCGAGCTGCGAGATACACTCCATCGAGTCGATTGCATGGAATGCTTCAGATCCGAACGTCGAGAAGCTTAAATCAGCCGCATCCTTGGACGAATTGCAAGGAAGGCCAGCAAACAAACCTTGCGTCATTTCCGACTTTCCACACCTGCTGCATCTTCTTTTGCCACTGGCGCAATCGCTTCCCGCAGCAGAAGATATCTGATCCGGAGAATCTTCTTCGTGCCGGCATCTTCTCCTCGACATAAAGGGCTCGGCTGCCCCCTCCGCATCCGGAATCTGCATCCCACCGAACTCATCCGGCGGTCTCAAACCCTGTATGTTGAACGCTCGAGGGGTGAGGTGGGTCGTTACGGATCCAGGTGCCAGCAAACTTCTGACTTTAACATGGAACTCCCGAGGTGCAGGAAATCCGTTTCCTTCCAAATGGCCCACCGGTAAAGTGTATCAGAGATTTGTCGTATGCGGTGGCCTATGGATCCATGTGTACTGCCACGTACGCGTTGAATTCTCGCTTCCGTGTCCAGCTGGAAGACGAGCTGATTCCGCCGCGCTCGGGGGTTCCTTGTCTGGTCTGTCGGTCCGGTCCGCCGCAAGTCGACTATGTACATACTTCATCTCCTGCCTGCATGTTAACGTAGAAAACAATCCATCAATAGTCCACGTCATCAAACAGACTTCCACGCTCGAAGAACATATGCTATTCAATAACATCATGTATTCGTATTTACATTTATTACGTATAGTATTCTGTACAAAGAGCGTAGAACAGCCTCTACGTCGAAGTGGAATAAGGGACTCCATGAAGACTGGGAGTAACTCGGAGCCCACGTTTGTTTTCTTGAGTCTCGAATTGTCTGTCACTCAGCCATGTCGAGCATTACTCTCCTTGCAGTCCAGTGAAGATACTCTTATGCTCGAGGATCGATCATCAGCTCCGCCGGTCGGTTGTCCTGCCTGAGCTCGATTGCTATCTTTCAAACTTCAGCATGGAAATCTTTGAATTTTTTACGTTAACACGCTCATACTACGACACTGTAACGTTCAAATCCCATGTTACCAAGACTGGGGCATCCAACATGTATGTGTCCGAGGTCGGCCATCATTATTGTTAACATGTGAACCGAACCTCAAGCTACAATGCTCAATCTCCTGTCTCTTTGGACTTCGTCCTCCTGTGCATTGTGCCTGCAGGTACGTACACATACAGGTCTCGAGAAAACTGAAACCCTCTGGCCATGGTCGAGGGCAAACGAGGGACTGAGATTTCAAGTCCAGCTGAGATGATGGCACAGAGTTTGGGCTTACATGAACCTGGTACTTCTAAGAGGCCAATTGTCATGCCTTGAGCTCCTACACTATCCGTCGTCTACACGTTGAGCAGTGAATGCATTGTGGCCCGAGCAGAAAGCGAATCGTTCTAAGCTTGAGAGCAAGTCAGGTAGGACCGTGCATGTATCGACTGATCAGCACCCACCAGTGATATTTTGAGCCATATCCAATGCAGTTGTAGATTGCAGAGTCAAGTAGGACATGATAAGAGTCCACCTTGCGAGCAGGAAACTTTCTTTTGTGCGACACTATCGGGACGTAGATAAATTTCACTACTTCTTTTCATAGTATGAACAGAAAGAAGGCAATGGAGCTATTGTATTCTGTGGTGTTCTCGTGATGAGCGCTTGCTCCAGCTCCAGCTCACAATAAGTTCCCAAGCGAGCTGGAACCAACAAAGTCGATCCAAACATGGGGTGTCATCATCCCGGGAGATGAGCTATCTATCACAAAGAGCATAAGCAACAATGTCCACAAATAATCACAGAAATTCTTTCTGTTTGACCAACCCTGCCCGCCTAACTGCCTGGATAATTTCAACAGGAGTAAATCATTTCCGCATTTAGATTCGAATGAAAAACCTGGTACCTTCTTATTGTCTCCAATTCATCAAAATTGTAACGCAAAAAAAGCCTTGCATTGGCTTGGAAGCTCGAATCTGGAGGTGAGACTTATCACCGTAATCGGCTATCCTGGCTGGAAATGTTCCTCTATGAAGAAATGACTGGATTATTGATTTTAAAGCTGCAGGATTATAATTCTCGATGGTCCACTTTCAGAAAAATCCGGCCAGTGTTGTGAGCCTCATCGCTGCAGCTCAGTCGCTCTGTACTCCTCTGTAGATCGCTCGAGAGCAATGTGAGGAGGCAGTGTGTGAGACCGAGGTCTGCAGAGGGCGTGGTGATGGCCGCGAGTACTATGGAGTCGAATTTAGTAAACTACGAGACGAGTCCCATTCAGGAAACCAGAAGCTGGATGCTGGCATTGCCCAGCCGAGATTCGTGAATCTTTTACGTTGCGCTCTGGGAAAATCACTGCAACCCTTCAAACACTGCTCGTGCATGTGACCAAATGGAATTGTCGAATTTCGATATATATCAAGGGAAATACCAGGATGACTCTTTCAACCGAAAGTCTGAAAATCACGAATACTGAAGATGTAATTCCCAGGGAACGAAATGTGGACGACCTCCAGATGAATCGGACACGTACAACCCGAATTCAAACTCGAGAGTGTGTAAATACGAAAATTACAAAACTTAAGAACCTTATGAAAATTACGGACATCTCGACTTCCATCTCGTTGAGATTTTAAAATCTGCCAGTTCTGTTCCGAGCAGATTCGTGCAGTCTATGTCTGTGGGAGAAGGAAGAGGAGGAGGGCATCGGACAAACTATCGTCAATCGTCGAGCTCACGTCGAGAAATAAAATATTAACCCTAGTTAGAAGCTAAGTCACATGCACACTCGCTTGTACTTGCAAAATGAGCAGCAGCTCGTCTCATGATCAAGCCGCTCGTGAGAGAGAGAGAGAGAGATAGAGAGAGAGAGGGTAGGGCCCTCGAGAGGAGCAGCAGCGAGGCGAGGGAAGAGAGAGAGAGAGAGAGCTTCCGTGGGCAACGAGGAGAGGCTTGCGATGCACCGAATCGGGCGTCGCTTCCTGGGGCTCGACGAATGCAAACCCTAGATCTTCAAGGGTACACAGATACGATACGGCATCGGTGTATGATCGAGGCGAATCCAGACTCGGCTTCCAGTAGTCCGGGATCGATCCTCGGACGGGACCCGGCAGAGGAAATCCCCGACAGCCGCCTCTTCTCCTGCTGCTGCTTCTGCTGCCCGAGCCCCGAGCCCAGCCTCTGGGCATGTAAGCGGGCTCGCACCAATCGACGGGGGCCGATCGATTTGCCGCTGCCCATCGATCGAGGCCACATCCATCCGCCCGCCCGCCCGATCGCCCGGGAGCGAGTTCTTCCTTCCTTCCTTTGTCTCCATCTTATTACGGGCAACCGACGCGGTCGTTCTTTTCGGGCTCCGGCATCGCGCACAGGCCGTCTCCAGCGGGAGGTCGACAGACACCTGGAGATTTCCGAGCGAGGGAGAGCCAGCCAGCCAGCGTGTGCCTTGGCGCGGTCCAATCGCCGATGACGACATAAATCAATAAATCATTAGCTCTTGCAGGACGTAGCTTACAATCCGCTTTTTGGCCCAGGCCTTCCGCCCCGCCTCCCCCCGCCCGAGCATTCATTCCTCGCCTCGCGCGGTGCTTCGTTTTCTTTATTCTTCTTCTTCTTCCTCGAGGGAAGGCAGAGGAGGTCCCCTGCCGATCACGGGGTAGGAAGCAGGAACGGCGTTAAAGAAAAGGGACGGGTCGTGGTTCGAGCTCTGCGGCTGTGCGACGAGGGCTCGGTGATCTGCCATGGCACGGAGCGACGGTTTGATCGACCAGCCTCTTGAAGGCGGGCGGAGTCGGCCCGTCGGACCGGAGGCGGGCGAAGTTGCGACCGATGTCTCGATTCCCTGGCGGACGAGCAGACGCTTGCAGGAAGCGACTCTCAAGTCTCTTCAAGAGCGGTAAGCAAGTAGTGCAGAGATTAGGTTCGTGCGAACTTACACATCGACCGAATAATTGATTAAAGGATCGATTGATAGGGTTCTCGTGAAGCCTTGTCGATCTTGAATTCAATCCAAGCGAATAGAAATGAATAGAAGTGGACTGAATTGAATTGTGTCGCGGCTGTAGGGATAGCGCGGTCAAATGCAATACAACGACGGTACCGAAAAAGCACAAAGAAACGCCAACTCCCGTCGTCTCGAAGAAAGAAACGTCTTCGCCGCCACCGGCCTCCGTGCGATCTTTGAGAAGACAGCATTCCTCGTCGGAAACTCTCACGGCAGCCGAGCAGAAAGACGCTTGCGAGAGGAAGGACAGCGCGGGGCGGAAAAAGGCGAAAAACGTTCAGTTCAGCGATCCAGTCTTTACACACATCGAGGAGCAAAAATCGAGCCCCTCAGCTTCCATCACCACCGCGACGGGTACGCCTTGCGCTGCCCCCACCGCCACCAATGCGGCGACCAAGCCGGCCTCGACGAAGAAATCCGCCACCAAACCCATCATCCCCACGAAACAGCCGCGCAATGTCGCTCTGCAGCAGCAGCTGAAGCGGAAGTACCCTATTTCGTGTTTTGACCTCTTCTGCAACCATATCGGTACCAAAGGGTGGCGCTGCTACCGGACGTGTTTGCAAGGGGAAGCATTTTGCAGTAATCACTTGATTCCAGCTACGACATCGGTCGCGAGGATCTCTGTTTGCACCTAAAATGTGTGCACCGGACGGAGGACATAAACACTTGTACAAAAAGCACGGCACGTGTAATTCACTTTAAGGATATGGATGCCAGTGAGATTGCCTACGTTGTAAATGGACAAATTGTGGAAGTTTTGGAAAGCATCAGCGTCATCATGTAGGATAATAACATGGCCCCTTATGAGGTGTGAGTAGCGGTAGGGCTTATCGTTAAGAGGGACGGGAAGAGGATCTTGCAGCTAGCTGGCTGGCTCCAAGAATTCCATCAAATCTGTAGAGTATGTAACAACACCCCCATTTTCGGACGGGTCGCAGATTGGAATAAACAAGCGAGGTCACCTTTCGGGAGGTTGCATCCCCCAAACTGTACCATCTTTGCCTGCCAGCTGTTTGAGTGTTTGTCAGTTCATCGTCCTGTTGTCAACCTCTAGAACTAGAACTAATGGCTTGGAAAATGACGGGATGTATGAACGGAATGCGACGACTTGTATGGACGAGCATTCGAAAATTCGGGCAATTGTCGTTGGTGTAGCCTCATGGAATTTTCGAAATTGCCCCCGGTGGCGCACGGACGAACACACTAGACCCATGGCATGCACAAGTACCACATTTCTCGGGGTATAGTCTCAGTCGAGTCGACTGAGATGTACTGCGGGACTGCAAAAAGGCACTGATAGGGCTGCGTGGATATATCCGACCCTTGATAATAAAGAGCGCACTCGCGAGAGGGAAAGTTCATGCACTGGCGTGCTCACCGTGAGAAAGGACAAGAACTTTACGCAGACAGTTGGAAGGTGGACTTCGGTGTCCAATTCTGCTCGAGTCCCTCAACACTGTCACAGTCCCTGATCCCGTATCCTGCCCTGTGCGACAAAACACTGCTCTTACTTATTTTGGACGTATTCCCAGATATTCTTTAATATTTACTGGAGCTACGAGATGTGAATGTGAAATCATGTTTCAATCAAATGTTTGCCGGACAGGAAGTTCTCCTCATTCCATCTCCGAAGCTCAATCGGCACATTGAGATTGAGGCAGCCCTCCCTAAAATTCACGATGCAATAATACTGCGTGCTCATGAGGCGACAATTGTCAGCAGGAACATGAGACCTGGAAGAAGACCGCCCCTTGTGTAGATCATCCAATTTAAACTGGTACCCGACGAGAGAAAGGGCTATATGCTGCCGGACTCATTGCCATGTTTGAGAACAGAAATAGTTGAGAGATAATTGCAGTGTGCAATAAACCTTTCCTACCAAAGTAAGTGGGAAATAACTGATGTGGGGAATAAATGCCATAGGGCCCAATTTGATTGATCCAAATGAAATAAAGGTCGACCAGAGCTGTAGGATTTCAAGATGAAGTGTGAGGCGGGAGATTAATGTGCCACGCGGTCTTCCTTCGGGTGTCGCAACCTTAAGATTAAATAGTTCTCCAGAATAATTTTCATGCAAGCGCCTAGTTCTCGCATCGGCTGCTTTCATTCTGATGCATTGATGTCAAGCTTCTCTCATCGTTCTCTATCGTATCTAAACCGGTGTCACATTCCATCGCTGCTTGGGGGCCAAGGCCACAGGTCACGGTGACATGAACCACTTCAGATTCTTTCATATATCTTTGTTTATTCCCGCTGTAGCTGATGATACTGTTTGGTAGAACATGAAATTTCACTTATGACACTCTTGAGGTCATGCAGTCGAGAGTCCGGTCGGCAATGCGAGTCTCTTCTTCTAATGAGCTTGATCCTTTCCCACTCACCATCTCCACACTCTTTTGAAGATTCCCTCCTCCCGTTCTATCTATCGATAGACCTCGGGGGATTATTGAACGCTACGATGCCTAATCAGGCCTTGAAGGCTCAGGTGGAGCAAACACTGTATGACTTGACTTTGCCAGATCCTCGGAGGACGAAGCACTTTTCTGCTTTAGTTCATCCATTTGTTGGCAAACTGATGAAAGTGGCGGTGTGGAAATCACAGCACATATTGTGCATGGCGCGTGTAACTCCGCGATACATGACATTGGGCATGGGTTTCTAGTGCAGGACGAATTACTAGGCAACCTGGTTCCGCAATTGTCAACATCCACCGCAGTTCCAGGACCCTCCCCTCACTTTTAGGCAAGAAGACGAAGAAATTTCCAGGTCGAACCCTCTGACGTGAATTTCTCTGAAGGTCCTATTGAATCCTCTCTATTTTTGTATGACTTGTAAATTGAGGTGAAGCTCCTCAAAACTCGAACTGTCATGCCTATGAGTGGAAGTTGCGTACAAGGAGCTCAGTTCTGCACCGCCGTGCAGATCAGGCACAAGGATGAGTGCGCACCAAAGACGGCTGTAATCATGCTGCTCCGAAATCAGGACGAGGTTGAGGCTCAGCTTTGGAAATTCTTACTACGTCACTTCGTACACTGAATTTGAGACAAGGTTTATTTCCATTCTTTGCAGCTATCGATGTAGACAGAAGACGATGAAGAAAGAATTCGCCCCGTCCTCAGGGTATCGCCCTCCTTCACACCGTCGTCTGCAAGACTGCGTAGCTCAACTTGCTACCAATGGAGACTGCTTCTTCTTTATAGAGTCTGACGACAAAATATATTGTACAGCAAGAAGAGAAGGGCCAAGCAAACATGTTGACTCCTCCGATCAGTCGCTGACGAGCTTGCTGACAAGCTTGCTGGCACATGTGCTTCAGCTTTCTGCCGTATCTTAGCTTCCTCCTTAAGCGACCTCTCCTCTCTCTCTCTCGACGACGTTCTATAATGAACTTAACAAACGAATCCACGGAACGGAACTCGGTCCACTCGACGACGACCACGTCTGCCCTGACAATCGGAGCGGCAATTGTCACTGCCCTGAGAATAGGAGCGGCTATTGTCACATTGCTCGAGGATTCATACACCTCTTCGGACGAGCGTGACTCACAGAGCTCGTGAGCAGTGAGCACCGTTTCGTCGTGGGGACGAACGGAAGTGAGCCATAAAGCTGCGCTTGCCTCAAGTCCCTGGAGATACGACAAGCCTTGAAACGTACAGTTTTTGCAGCAGCTTCTTTCTTACGAACGACAAGATGTCTCATTACCTCACTCTCACTCACTCACTCGGGTCCGACCCCAACCAAGATACCAAAACCACCCACCGACAGTCCAGAATGTCCGTGTCAGAATATTAGCTCCCCTCAGCATTTACGAAAAGTCTAGCGTTGGCTCTCCTGGGGTCACTCCCTCCCTCCGTCCGCCCTGCAGAATCTTTCTCTGAACCGGGGTCAAGGCGAAGGTTGATCGTCGTCAGGCTCTGGATTTCTCTCTGTGATGGTTTCATGTATGGTTGCTGGAATTGATCAGAACCATGACATACCGCCGCGAGGCTGGCCCATTTTATTGATCAAATTGATCATTTTATTGGGCCTGCGCTGTCCGTTGTGGTCTTGTAATAGTGCTATCATCATGCGTCGGTTGGCAACACATTCCATGGATTGATTCATCCGTTTGATTGGTCGATTTAGTGGATGTATGGATGGTTGGCTAGATGGATGGATTCAGAGCTCGATCAGTAATGTCTCCTGAAATTCATGTGTGTCGCCATGACATGTTTTGAGTGGGCGTATGGCAGTGCCGAAATCAAATATGCGAATCTCAACAACCATGTTATTTTAAGGAGTGGGTTCACAGACGACGTTCTGTTGCTGGCTGGTGCTCGTGAGCGGAAATCTCCACCGTGAGCCAACTCATACCGTCGAAATGCCTGATCTTCAAATTCAACGGGTGTTTTGCACAAACGTAGACTCTCTCTTCCTCTCTCCCTCCCCTTCCTCCAGTGATTGGTGCGTTTTAGCAGATGTGCTTTCGTACAGCACCTCGCGATGCACCAGGAGAGCTTCACCCTATACGTATGTCAGAGGTCTCGGTTTGAGCATACGTCATTGGCCAGTCTGCTCCCTGCGCAAGATCCGATTTTCACGAGGCTTCTTGAAGTCAATGCGAGTCAGTCTATCAGGAATGTGACTGCACATTGATGAAATGGCATCATTGAGGCTGATACACTTACGCTTAAATTAATGTCGTCTGCTCGATCTGGAGCAATCGATGGTTCTATATTTTAAAATAAAACCTGTGCATGTACTGAGCTCGATCGTCCAAAATCAATCTGCAGGACAGCAAATCTCTAATTCAATGCAATGTAATGCACGTGGGCGAGCTCGAGCTTGACTTTCCCAAGGCCAATATCCTTCGAGGTATAACGAAACACTTTTCAGAGACGATCGAAATCCAGCGTCGATGCGATTTCAGACACCGGAGTCAATGGAGCTGGCTCTAGTTCTGACACACACCGAGGTAAGATGGGTCCCCAGCTGATGACTAGCAGATTGCATTTGCCTCACTCCGTAATATATTTCAACCAACAGGAAATGAGAAAAGCCGAGAGGGAGAGCACTTTGGAGTGAAATGGTGAGCGAGTGCGAGAGGTGAATGAGGCTGTAGAAAAGCTTCAGCAACTGACTCGCTCTGTTGTCAACCCCAACAACATCCCATCCCAGCCCAGTACAGCACAGGGCAGCTCAGCTCAGCTCATCTCTTATCGTGTAGCAGGTGAGCGGCGCTGCGGTTGCAGAAGACATAGATCTAGGGTTGACGGTGCTCGTCCTGCTCCTCCTCCTCCTCGCCGTCGTCGTCGACATCGTCGGCCTCGGCTTGTCGCTAGATACGCACGAGCATGCACCCGTTTTCTTCTCTATACATGTGCAGCATTCAGACAGAGCACTGGGAAACCGATTCCTTAGATAAATCGCAAGCAGCCAGGAAGGGACAAATGAATCACCCTTTTCCCAACTCTCTCGCCATTCCACCAATTTTCAAAGCGGGACCCTCCATGAAAATCCTCCATCCATCCTGCTGCTGCTGTACCTCGTCGCCATGGCCAAGTTTGCCATTCATTCATTTATTCTTCCTTCGCGTGAGCACGCAGCTCCAGAGTGACGAGTCGCGATGCGTCACCCGGCGAATGCCAGGTGAGTGAAAGTCGTCAGGACTCGCCGTGGTTTGTATTTATACGTATATTTCCGGATGGTATGGTACGCGTACAACAGCATCCCATCCCATCCAGCATCCAGGCCATCGAGTACGCCGCGGTGGTAGTGGCGGGGAAACGTTGTTCTGTTGTTGTTCTGCGAATCTGTAAGGCATGCGCTCTGTTCACGAGCTTGAGCATCTGGATTCGCTCTCTTCTGAATGAGTGGACTTTTGTGCTTGCGTGGGTGAGCAAGTAATGCTAGCCCCGGTGGCTGAAAGACCTGGAACATATTCCCCGATTCATACGAGAAAAGGAAGATGAAGCTGAGGCTGTTGTACGCTCCTTCCTGGAGCT